CAGTGTGGGGCTCAAATCCACCAGCCAGAAGTGAAAGTGCTACCAACTGAGACAAACTTAAATATTACTGTGAGTAATGAGTTATCATCATCCATTAAAGGCAACCATAGAAACACCCAATACTTCATAGGACAACATTATGAATTACGCTATGACATGGAAGGCACTATATAAATGTAAATTTGTGTTGAATTCTATTTTTGTGATAATCCACCCCCATCAAAATCATAAAATCTACATATTGCCATTTAAATATAAATACTTTTTTTGACATATTAGCTATGCTTAATAGCAACAAAAATAAAAATTATGACCAGCCAAGGAGCCATAAAAATTTAGAGCATTGAAGGAAGCCAATTGGAAAATGAAGTAAATACAGTACAGTGTATTTTATTGTATTAATAATCCTTGCATTTGGTATTCTGCCTTTCATGGATTTCCCAAAGCACTTCATAGGATTTGTTTTTACTCTGAAGTAGAGTGTATATTTGTAGGCAAATGCAGGAGCCAAATTGAGCACAGAAATGTCTCACAACAGCCATGAGGATTGACCCATTTTATTTGGGGATTGTTGGCCAGTGGCCCCGTGAGAAACTCCTTTCTCTTTGATTAGTGCTTTGCATTCTTTAACAACAAAAACTTGCATTCTTGCAGCGCACTTCACACAGGATAGCATCTTGGAGAGCTTAAAATGCTCAAGTCCATGTGAACAGGCAGATAGGACCTCAGCTTTAAAGTCTCATCTGAAGGTCAGCACCTCTGGCAATGCAATACACCCTGTTAGAATATACACTTTTTGTATACTGCTAGAATCATAATAGATGTTGTGAATGGGTTAACTTTTAAGTTAAGTGTGGGAGGCAACTGGACTGATAGTCATGGGATAGGACTCATCTGGATTTCTCTGTTTTTGAAAGAATAACAGACAGGGGCGGGGGTCACCTCTTATCAGTAAATGACAACAAGCCCACAGAGGTAACGGTCCAAGGTACCAGTCGACACAGGATCTCGACTGAGCAATAAGTTGCTAGATTCTGACAGGGCCTGCCAAGCAACAAAAGGCAACCCTCAAGAATAGCAATTAATGAGCAAGTTGCTTAAACTAGAGGACCTTGGTACCATCCCAGGATACTGATAAGAAATAACCAGTCACTTAAAAGGAATGTACTAATGTTCCCACACCACAAAATAATGAGCACCAGATACAGCCCTAAACTGATCAATCCTCTATCTTAGACAATTAGATCAGATAACAGGGGTCTTAAGGACAATGTGCATGTGTGCTGAGGCACGTACACCCCATGAGGTGTTCACGTGAACCCAGCATGATTTCGACCGGGTGATCTAATGTCCGCACCATGATTGGATGAACATTGGCATAAGAGTTCCGTTAACTTTGTGTACGGGGCCGTCCCGTATTATTTTCTTACAACCCCATGCACTACATTGGAGTATCACCTTAGATTCTACAAATTCCAACATGGAGCTTGAGCAGAGGTGGCAGGAGACTAAAGGCTCAGCCTCTTTAAGCAGAGGTGGAAGAGGAAAGCCCTCAGGATGACCAAAGTCAGACTAAATTTCACCATTTAACAATTGCTAGGCCCAAAAATTACTATATGCCATTCTTTTGTGCAATGTTATTAACAATTTATGGTGAGAATATGGTTAAACGATAATATCAATCCAATATTTGAATGACATTTGTAACCATGATACATTTACACAATTTGGAGTCCCGTAGTGTAGTGATTAGTTTGCTCGCCTCACAAGCAAGAGGACCCGGGTTCAATTCCCAGGCCGGGCAAAACCTTAGGCAATTTTCCTTGCTCCACGTGGCTGTTTACCTTGCAGTAAGTAGGAACCCGGTTGTTAGTCAATTGGCGGATTGCTTTTTGGGGGTAATCTATCCCAAATAAGGCACAATATCAAATGCAAGGATTATGATTATTATTATTTTCAGAAAAACAATTCTATATTGATACAAGTTGCACTGCATTAGTCAATAACGTTTCAGCATCAATCATATGGATCCTGCCATATTATACAGGATATAAGATTATGTGTGACTGAAAGGCTGATCTGAGCTTCCTTTTAAATTAAGAGACAGTATTGCACAACTTCGAACTCCATCTCTTAGAATGTAAACATATATGTAAACTAGCATCAGTGCTATTTTTAGCTGGCATGGTGCATTTTAGTAAATAGTAAGAGAATGCTAATAATAATACTTGCATTTAATTATCACGTCGTCAAGATGTCTCAAAGCACTTCACAGGATATAATTTAAATTGATTTACTGTATTACGTGAGCAAACGCAGAAACCAATTTGAGCACAGCAAGCATTCAACAAACAGGCTTCGAATGAGTGACCAATTTTATTTGAGGGATTGTTGACTAGGACGCCAGGAGAAACTCCATACTCTTTTTGAACAGTGCCACGGAAGCTTTTTAATATCCGCCTAGACAGGGAGAAAGCTCCTCAGTTTAACTTCCCATCCAAAGGGCAGCACCTCTGACAATGCAGCACACCAGCACTGCATTGAAGTGTCAGCATAGATTACATGGGTCCAAGTAGCAACATCCGGCTTGAACCTACAACCTTCTGACTCAGAACCAAGAGCGCTACCAGCTGAGACAGGCTAACACTTGTTAGCAGTTATACTAACCCCAGGCTATATAGTCCAGGTTCTGTGACAGTGACATTAGGATATGATTGAAATAGCAGCTTGGATCTCCAACAAACTAGGTTTCATTTAACTTGCCACCTACAAAATACACAGACAATACTTTGAGTAATTCATGTGAAGTGTTTTGAAACATCTCGATGAGATGGTAAGGCGCTATATCAAATGCAAGAATTATTATCATGTTATATTCAGGGAAAATATAGACAAGCTGCAATGTCCAAAGCAGATGACAAACCAATAGACATAGGATTGTTAGTAAACAAGAAACATGCATGGCAACGGAAAGTCAGAATCAAATCAACTTCCTGTGATGGTCTCAGTGGTCTGGTTCCTACGGCAGACGGATGTGCAAAACTCCGAGGAACTGCTGATGACAAACAAGCCAACCTGGTTAGCAGAACTAGGTTTCATTTATAATAATAGTAATATAATAATCCTTTTGAGTTTTATAGCACTTTATCACGTCTTCAAGACGTCTCCAAGTGCTTTACAGAATATACTGTAAAGTGAATTGACTGTATATTTTGTGGGCAAAAAGCGGCAGCCAATTGCATATAGCATTGTCCCACAAACAGTCGTGGATTGAGTGATCAAATTATTATTATTTATTTTTAAAGGGATTATCATCCCCAGAAAAGCAATCTATCTGCCAATCGACTAACAATCGGGCTCCTATTTACTGCTTAGTAATCAAAGGTGTGAGGAGTAAGGAAACTTGCTCAATGTTTCATCCTGCCCAGGTCCTCTCGTTTTCGAGGTGAGTGCTCTAACCACTGAGTACACTGGACTACTATCACCTAAAATATACAGCAACTACTTTGAGTAATTCAGATCACGAGAAGGGATTTTTTCCACCCCTCATCTATTAACCCTGCAAGCCAAAGTCCTAAGGAGTAGTGTAGTTCTTGTGGACAAGCAGCAGTGCTCTCAATGGCAAGATTTTAGTGGTCAAACTCCAGTAAACCTTGCCAAAACCTTGGCTTTTGTCAACTTGCTTTTAATACTCTCTGGAACTAGGTAAGCAAGATGCGTCCCTCCGGGGAGAAGATGCACATTCCATTCCAGTCGCAGGAAAATTTCCATGTATAGGTGACATGCAAATGTAGAACTTACAATCTGATTTGGATAATCCTAAACATGGTGATGGGTTTCCTCATTTTTCAGGCACCCGGCTAACCAAAACAAAAGTAGTTCCTTTGCAGATTTAAAGCTATGAATTGAGCTCAATGTTAATTCTTGAATATATACACTTCAAGCTCACAATGAAATACTTCCATATACAGTAGTAAATAGACATTACCTTCTAGGTCAAAAATATTCTTACTATTTGAATGCAAGGCTCAAATGAAGCCTTTTGTTATAGCTCATTTATTGTTCGTGCCTCTGTGTGGCTCAGAAACAAAATGCAGACTATCAATTCTTGAATGTAATTGATGTGAAAAAGATAATGGACAATAGTAATAACTCTTGCTTCTTACTCATGATTCCAATACCCACCCCCCTTCTATGTTTATTCTCTACTGCTCACAATGAGAAATTCTGTAAAGCTATGCTAGGGGATAGGCCATCCAACCTCATTGAGCTCTAAAACGTGTTTATTGTCACTCAACAGGATAGACTAATTTCCAAATACTAGGATATGAGGATAGCCTGACTCACTGCAAGAGAAACACTGATTCACATTAAGAGGTCAGAAGATGGCCAAACCGTTTCAGCAAAATTAAATATGCAGCTGACACCCATTTATTAGTAACATTTTCTCTCATTTCCCTCTTCAATCCTCTGTCCAGTTAACAGTATTTTCTAGCCCAAACACATAACTTTCAATCACACACCATCATAACATATTCCAAAGTGAAGTTATGAAACTGAGACATGAGAGTCTATTTAAAAAGTTAAAAACAAAATAGTTTTTCACACATTTAAAATATCAATTTATCATGTAGTAGTTTATTCTATATTTCTATTTTTATCCTTGTTACTAACAATCATTATCTAGACTAACAGTAATGAAGCAAACTCAACAGTAACCAAAATACTGAAATGTAAATATAAAACATTGGTTCAAAGTTACCGGCTTTATATTGTTCCAGCATAAGTACAGTCATACTCAAAAAACACCATCTTTGCTACAGAAAATAGTCCAATCAATTGCTTCAACAAATAAAACATGGAAGAAATAACTACAACTCTACAAAGTAGGAAACTTTTAAAATGATTCCAGATGTCTTCTGTATCATACAAGACAGGTACAAGACAGGTACACACACAATAAAACACAAACATAATTCTTAATAATTTCTGTAACATACCTAGCAAAGCTTGAAACAGTCCACTTTTGAAGATACGTATCACCCTTTCAATTGCTGTTTTAAGTTGAGTTTCTTCTGGCTTCTTTAGTTTTGAGCAGTAATCCTGAAGAAGCAATAAAGCTCGTTGGGTATCTAAAAAGTTAAAAAAAAACTGTTTAATACATTAAAATCATAATAAAATGCCTGTACTGTGCATGTTGTATACCTTTTAACTTGGGCATAATAGTGCCTCCATATTATTCAGGCTCAGACCAGTAGAAGAGGACTGGCAAGTAACTGCAGCAATTTCTGCAAGAAACTTTTAAGTCCAAACAAAACAAAAGCCAATGGGAAATTGCCAGCCTGTTACCTGGTGACCTTTTATCAGACTTTGCTGGCAAGATTCACAATTCACCAGCTGCAAATTTTACATACAAGATTACTGAGTACAATAGTGAGACGAGCAACATCATTTATGATGACATCACATGCCGGCACATGTGTTATTAAACCTGTAAAGGTCTTAAGGTCTTAAGTGTCGTAAACAATATAAAAACTGCTTGAAATCAAATAGGCATAGCTCTATGCCTATAGTTAGGAGCTCACCAAGGTATCATGCATGGAACTGAAGACAGAAAGCAAGTGGTGTTTTCAAACAACAGCATCATCTCTCACCACTGCATCCACTGGAGCAGTGTTTTTCCCATTGGCCTCACAGACAAAACCCAGTACAGGTATGAACACAAAGTAAAAATGGTATTCCACTCACAACTCAGAGAAACATAAATGAACATTCTTTCTACTACTGACTCATTCTCTCTATAGATCACACTATTTCTCCCCACATCCCATACACACACAATTTTCATTCACACATCATCACAACATATCAGAACATATGAAGCTGAAACAAACACACCTATTAAAAAAGTTGAAAACAAAGTACAAAATGAGTATTTAAAATATCAATAAATACAAAAAGTAATAATATTATTGTTAAAGATCTTGACATGAATCACTGCCCCTGATCTCAGCAGGCGATGAAGCAGTACACCAATAGGCTGGAGAAGGGTACAACAAAACTGCTGAAATGTCCATTCTGGTAGCCAAAGAAAAATCCAAATGTGAGTATTTGTAGTATTGGCTACTCAAAAAAAAAATCTAATTATAAACCTAAACTAAATTGGAAAACAATGATTTATAAAATTCAATCCACCCATACATAATTCAAAGCAACTTAAGGAAATAATTTTTCAGTCCATGCTGACGTTTTTTAAGAAAAACACAAGTACAGTCCCAAAGCCTCCTGTATTTCTTTCCAGATTATGTTTATCCAGTAGAAGATCAGATCTTAACTGTGATTGCAAGTCCTGATCCTTAACTTTAGTGGAACGATCCAGAGCATATCATTCAATGCATAAACAACACTTTCCAACTCTTCCATAGATATACATCACTACAAAGTGTGGTGAGAATGGTTGATATTACATGTGTTATGTCGTGACACAAAGTTACAGCCTCACTAGTCATTTTGTAAAAAAAAATTAAAAATGTAAGAATACAAGTCAATATACTCCACTTTGAACAGTCTCTATTTACAGCTGCAGTAACTGCTATTTGTAGCCTTTCCTCAATATTTGAAACAGAAAATGCACCAGAGCTGCATGTGCAAACGTTGTTGCAACTTATTTCAAATTAAAAGGTTCAAGAGCTGTTCATGTAAATGAGAATCTTTACCTTCAACGCTTGAATACTAACCATAAATGTGTATTTTTAGTAAACCATATTGGGGCAGTGTAATTCCTCACACAGCAAGTTTCCAATCTTATCACAGACATAGTCAAAGAAAAAGCAGTCAACTATACATCCATGTTTGAATTTGAAACGCACTCTGCGCAGTTACACTTCACATTCACTTATACTTCTGCAACGTAAATTGTAATTATTTTGGAAAAGTGTCTCTGATCTGTAATTGTAGCTTTTTGATATTATGATATTAATAAAACACCAAATGCAAATCCACCAATTGGCACTTATTTAATATTTAGAACTATCATTTGCAGTTTAGCACAATTCTCTCGACTATTAATGGGGCAAAAAATGTTTCTTCAACATTGTATTGTGTATAAGTTTGTGAAATCTTGAACAAAAATTGGTTAAATATTTTGAAATGATTAGCCATTTATAGGAGAATTGAATTGGGCAATATATATACAAATCATGCTGTAATACCCCGATTATCTGTTCAATACTATATTATTGAAATTGACTGTTTATTGAAAATATATTTTGTTTAAATGTTTTTCACACAAAATGTTGTTTCACAATGTAGTGTAGTTTCTCATGCTCATTTGCAACATTGTTATTTTGCTTAGCAAAAATCCCTATTAATAATAATCCTTGCATTTGATACAGTGCTTTATCAAGTCTTTGATACATCTCAACGTACTTCACAGAATATCCTGTAAAGTGAATTAATCGTATACTTTGTGGACGAAATGCGCCAGCCAATTTTTTTAGTCAAGTACAGTACCAGAACAGATTGTACGATCTTGCCCTGGTCATATACTTTCTACAGTATTCAGTACAGAGTGTACAATCCAGAGAATGTTACACCCCAAATGCCGGGCATTTATCCCACTGATCTATGGCACAGAGTATTATTGAAACACTTTGCTTCGCATTGTTGGATGCAAGAAAAATCATGTGATAAGAAAGCCATTATGACCTTGGGAGAGCAAAATATACAGGAGCAGTGTTTGTATACTGATTAAATCAGTACAAAATTAGATATGTACCAAAGCTTTATTTTTAGTAGCAATGCATGTTACATCCAGTGCTTTAATAGACCCATAAACATTGGAACCTAACCAGGTGATGAATTTGCTTTTCTCATAGAACAGAACTGCTCTTGCTGATGATGGTTGATGGCGGTCTTGCCTGTGGATCTCATGCATACTCCACCAACTATCCTGAAGAATGGACTAAATGGTGGGATATATTGGAAGGGTCTAAGGTGGAGTGTTTTACAAGAGGCATCAGTCCAACGTGTTGACTTTTATCGGAGCCTTGGGTTCATGGTGAACACCAACTTCAGCGTGGACACTGTCCAGGTATACAAGACCTGTGTGCAAAGGAGTCTTTGACATTTGGATCAACAGCTGCTGAAAGGGGTTACCTGGTCCGAGTTCGTGAACACACATTTGTACATCCAGCGCTTGGAATCCACCTCGATTGGCCTGTAGAGAGGTAAGCAGCTGCTGCTTAAACTCCACACCTCCAATTGGTGGAACCATCGCTCAATGGGAAAGGATGTGTGACCGAGCTGCGGATAGGAACGCAGTGGCAATGCTCTCACCCATTTCATGCTGAGATGCGTTGCCCACCAGGAAGCTCGCAGGGAGTTCCTTGTACCTACCATCTACCTCGTCAGGGCTCCAACCCACGCTTGTCAGATGTTGAACCATCAACTAGTGATTAGGGGAGAGAAGAGGGATTTCCTTGGAGCTGAAATGGCATACAGCAGTGTCCCACAAACAATTGTGAATATTACGGATCTCCCAAGTTTAAAACCTTCAGTTTGTACCCATATATAAAATCTTATTCAAATTAGACACAAACTTAATTCTTCCCTTAAGAGATACCTCAATTGGTCACTCACTCCATGGCTGTTTGTGAGGTATTGCGGTGCGCAATTGGCTGCCATGTTTCGCCCACAAAATACAGTCACTACAATTTATAGTATATCCTGGGAAGAGCTTCACTATAATTTACAGTATATTTTGTGGGTGAAACAAGACTGCCAATTGCGCACAGCAGCGTCCCACAAACAGTCGTGGATATCATGACCACATTATTTTTAAAACATTTGGAAGAGTATTATCCCTTATTATTGTTTATGTAAACATTGTATTCTGTATAAGTTTATGAAATCTTGAACATAGAGTAATTGATTAAATATTTTAATGATTAGCCATTTATAGAAGAATTGGAATTGGGTAGTATATATACCAATCATGCTATAATACTGATTATCTGTTCAATACTGTATTATTGAACTGGCTCCAAGGCGATATGTCTAGCAACAGAATGTTGGATTCGAGCCAGCCCTCTGTGGCGGTCTCAGTGTGCCAGGCGGGTCCGCAGTATTCCAGGTCACTGCTGATGACAGCGTGCACGGCTAGTCTGGCTCATCAGCAAGACTAGAAAGGACAAACCAGTCACTGGGAGCTGGGAATAATCCCACTCAGCTCCTGTTAACCCCACAATTCAAAGTCCTAACAGGTAGGGTGTTCCAGGGAGAGAGTGCTTATTCTATTCCAACAGTTTATCTTTGAGATATCCAAGCATGGAAATCTCATCTTTTTTCGGATACTCTTAAGCATGGTGATGGGTTTCTGCATGTGTCAGACACTGGGCTGACCAAAAAAAAAATGATGGCTCTCTGGGGCAGAGGAGATTGGAAAAGGGGTGAGGGTTTCTTGAAGGCAGTGATTGTAAGATACAAGAAGCACCCATCCTATTGTTGATCCATATTTTTTGTAGAGGTCCAAATTTTACTAGGACATATTTTTCAACTTAGAAGGGGCTAGGTGTTCTTTGGCCATTTCTTTTCATACAAATTTACGTCAGCAGCCGAGCCTTTAGGCTCTCTGGGAACTACCATGTGTGAGGGGCACTATATAAATGCACATTGTTGTTGAGTCTTGAGCCACAATGCACCCACACTTTGGAACTCCCTCCCTCAACAGCTCTGTCTCATCTTGTTTATCTATCTTCAAGTAACCTAAAAATGACTGTGCTTATCATTACCTACCAACCTTCCCCGCTCAGTGCCTGGTAATGTCTCTCCGAAGTGTTTCTAGATATTATTCAACATGAAAAGCACTATATAAACACAAGTATGTGTTCAGTGAATTCTCAGTATATGGAATGAGATGGAAGCTCAACAAATTATTCCAAACTTCTGGCAAAAAAATACACAAATCAAATGCAACATTATTTATTATAAATTGAGTGTGGAGTGCTTAATTTCACCGATTGCTCAACAAAATTGTGTGTATTGATACCTGTGCAACACACACGGTCAGTGAATGATATGAATTGTATTCTTCACCTTAGGGAAAATAACCATTAAATGCAATTATTGCAATCACCTGTGTACATTTAAAAAATGGAGATGATCTAAATTTACAGAAACATGAAAATTAAAAACCCATGTGGAAATTGGCGCTTTAATTAATTGAAAACATGATTACTTCTGACAGTAATGTGTTTTAATAACATTCATTCAAAACTCTGCTGCCCGCATACTGACCCAGACCAAATTCTGTACCCACATCTCACCAGTTCTGGCCAGGCTGCACTGGCTCCCCATCACCGTAAGAATCGACTTCAAGATGCTCACTCATGTTCAAAACCATTCACTCCCTGGAACCTCCCTGCCTCTCTGACCTCTTCACTCCCCAATCCACCACCTCCGCTCGACTGGCACCAGCCTCCTGCTAGTCCCTCGCACCCTCTGCCCCACCATCAGAGGTTGTGCTTTCAGCCACTACGCCCCAGAACTGTGGAACACTCTCCCTCAATCCCTCTGCCTTGCCCCCTCTCTCAAGTCCCGCCTGAAAACTTTCCTGTTGGACCATGCTTATCTCCCCCCTGCTCGGGTCATGACCCAACTGTGCAGCGCCTTGGGACGTCCTCCTGACGTGAAAGGCGCTTTATAAATGGAATCTTGTTGTTGTTGTTGTTATGGCCACCACCGCACTCCCACAGACAGGAATCAGTCTCCACCACTGTTAAGCTCTGAGACACTACCCAGCATGGAGGGCGCTATATAAGTGCAAGTTGTTGCAACAAATTGTTATTTTTATTTGCATGGAAATCAGTCAATCCAATAGGGCCCTTCAACTGCTCAACAAACTAGAAGTCAAGAAGGCCCATATGTGTAGCACTAACATTTGCTTGGCAACCGCAGATCAGGTATTTCACTTATCCGCGCCAGGTGAGGTTTTGTGAACGGTTTGATTTTCTGGTGTTGGAGCTTCCCCTGACAGAGATTGTATACCATAAGATAGAACAAGTACACAATGCGCGCACATACACACATTATCCAATACCGACATGATACAGGAGTGTTTCCTCTCCCAAACTTACAAGATCCATCCTTACCTTGTACTGTGAGGTGTGCAACATTAAACAGGCCATATGCAAGGGAAAATCGACGCTCAAACTTTCTCACTAAAGCAGACTAACTTAATCCTTGCATGAGTTTCCTTTTATACTAAGATTTATTGAACACCATCGACGATGATAGAATTCTACTCAGATTGAGGGGAAAAAAACTATTCGTTGAAGCAAACGTCGAACTCAGTCACTGTACTGTTTATCACTATATATGAACTACCATAACTGGTTCGCAAACATAGGCAGAAGCAACATTTAAGCTGCTCGTCTGTTTAAAGGGGTAATAATAATAATAATCCTTGTAGTTATGAAAAGGGGGCACAACCGACCTGTGAACAAAATTACTGCACTCACTGAAGTTAAAACAGAAACCATGACAAAGTTGATAATCAACGCACTTCAAAACAACCTGTCTTTATAAAAGTTAGCAAGAAGATACACAAGCACTTTCTGGGATTTTGAAAAACGACCTGACCTTGTTTTTTCACTGGCATGTCTCTTTTCTCCAAGTGCAATGTGTGACGCTTAGTAGCCCCGATCTTCTCCAGCTGTTGAGATCCTGGCACCAGACACCGCTCGTTTTCTCTTCTCACTCCCATGAAGCTGCGGCCCCGAACCTCTGTCAATAATTAAAATCTCCTCTCGCAGACCAATGCAGTCCAGGAAAAAAAAACCCCCCGCACACACCCCGGTGTGAGCTTTCCAATCGTGTGCTTTTTGGTTTTAAACGAAGTTACCTCCAAAGCGTTTACTTGTTGTTACACCGTGAGAAACACCAACCAGTTCCGACTTAACACATCTAATTTTCGAGAGAGAGAGAGAGAGAGAGAGAGAAAAAAAGTAATTATCTTAAATTCTAAAAGAAACGCGGTCACTCCCGAGGCCGTCGGACAGACATTCGTCGCGACGGGTGGATGTCGTTTTGGCGACTTAAAAAAAAGATCTGCGGCCACAAGTGAAACGCCGAGAGACGGGGGCGAGAGCGGTGTAGCAGCAGCAAAAAAACTCGTCGAGTTGACAGCACCTTCTGTGGGTCCACCCAACCTTCCCGCAGCGCTCAACCTGCAGCATCTTCCTCCTTCATATCACACCAACTGATCTTTTCTCTCTCTCTCTCTCTCTCTCTCTCTTCTTTCTTTCTCCCCTTCTCTTTCTTTCTCCAACGAGCGGGTTAGTTTGGAAACCTCAGTACTAAAGAGAGAGATATTTTTTTTTCACACACACACACACACATACGGGTAAATGTCGGTGGAGGGTTTTTAAGTGGAGGATTTGTCTCTTTTTTTATTTGAAATTAAAAACCCGCGTCGTTTCTCTCGTCGTGACGAACACCCGGAGAAAGGTGGTTAAGGGATGGGGGTCACCTGGTCCCCGGCGCGAGTTGTTTAGTTTAGTTACACGTGTCAAATGGGGCAGAAAAACAAAAAAGATTTCAGGCGAACACCAACCAATGCGGCGACTGTCAAGTCAGTGGGTCAGAGACAGACGTAAAACCCCCTCAGCCGCGCTGGCAATAACCGCTCCCTCCCGATGCCCGTCTGGGAAAAAGAGTCAATAAATAAATAAAAAAAAAGGGGCTTTTATTTGAAATGAAAACACAAACACGTTGTCCGCCGCAGACGGCGCCGATAATAAAGCAGGCCTGGACCCCGCGCGGAAACCGCCAGCACACAAGCGCCGGTAACACGAAGCCAGGCAGTGCGACGCCTACCGGGTCCGTTTAACCAGGTTGTTTGTTTGGGTGAGGTGGTGGGATGGATGGATGGGGGGGGGGACTGCACACAGCAAATGACTGATAACACGCCGGGCAGAGCAGGGCCGGGGCTCACGCCGCTCCTCTTCGCTCCCTTGTTTTGTGCAGTGCAGCTGCGGCTCCGCTGCGGCTCCGCTCCTCCCTGAGCGCCGCTCGCGCCCTAGTAACGGAAAACGCTCGCGCCGCGGGGCTGATTGACGTGACGGCCAAGCGGGACCCGCCCACTCCGCGGCCGCCCGGAGGACCAATCGGAGCTGGGAGTCAGCGGTCGGGGGCGGGGCTTCCGCCCTCACCGGGTGCAAGGGGAAGTCAGTGAACGGTCACGTGCTCTAAGCCTGGTCACGTGCCCAACATGTCTGCGCCCACGGAGTAGTGGCTGAGCTGCGAAGTGGGCGCTCGTTAAGTGATTGTGTACGTCGGGGCTTTGGAAACGTACAGACATCGTGATTTCTCTCTCTCTCTCTCTCTCTGTTTCCAATCGAGGCAACAGAAGGTGTTCGTACATCTCCCGCTGGTCGTTCCAGGCGCGCCACCGAGGTTTGCGTTCAACTCAAGGTCACATGCCATTGTAACTGGGGCTCCTTTGATTTGCACCAACTCGAAGGTTTTAGTTTTCCTTCTCATCGGCTGCCCGAAGAGTGAATGTTCTTTTTGTTTTTATTTTTTTTTTAAAAAAAGAGTCAAATAACCGTGTGGCACATACCACTGCGTCAGCATAGGTAGGATAAGGGGATGCAAAGGGTTTAAGGAAGGAACCAGTACAAATGTTGGACCTCAAAATGATTTAAAATTTTCGGGTGGTACCTCAGTGAGATGCGTTCAAGATTCGTGTGGATATTGGAATGGACTGGGAGATTGACTATGGCTGCCAAAAATTGCAACTGGCATTCACTGTTTTTCGATGTGGTGACTTGTTGCACATGAGAGACGGATGGTTTTCAAATGAATTTCAGTGTTTCCCATATGCTGAAGACGAAATGCAATTAGATTCACACACAAAATGCAAATCAGGACAAGCTATGAAAAGTTGTGACCGAGCCCCAGCCCTTTCGGGTTCAGAACCTGTCCAGCTCTCCCAGTCTGAGCTCGCCTTTTTCACCAGATCCAGGCTCTGCTCCTCCTCATTGGCACTTCAGAGTCCCAGCCTGCTGCCTGCCCTGGTTTGTTTCTCTGCTTCAAGCCACTGCTTGATTCTTAGCCAGATACCTAAGTGTCTCGGAGTTACCCTTTCCATACAAGAAACAAGGAAATCTGGCATCTTGGTTGAAAGAGAGAGAGAGAGGCACTATGGGAACAACATAATTACATTTATAGAGCGCTTTTCACGTCGGGGGACGTTCCAAGGCGCTGGACAGGCAGGAGTCAGGACCCGAGCACAGGGGCAGGATGGGGTAGGGGTGAGGGAAGGCAGAGAGGTGGGAGGGCGACTGTAGGCACGATCGAAGAGGAGGGTCTTGAGACCTGCCTTGAAGGAGGCAAGAGAGGAAGTGAGGCAAAGGGACTGTGGGATGGATATGGGGTAGAGGGAAAATAAAAACTGGCTCAGAGGAGCGGGGCGAAGAGCTCCCAATTTTCATTCTGGAAGCTGGTTAGACTTGCTTCCAAGATTCCTAGTCTTGCTGCTGTATTGGGAGGTCATTGGATCAGCCGACTAGATTTCGCGAAAAACACAATATAATATCTGGAAAACCTGATTTGAAAATTGTTCACCTATATGTGCTATTCCTATTGTTTGAAAAAGGCAGCACTGGGCAAGTTACAAGTTATTAACCAGTACTACCTTTTATAATATAATAATCCTTGCATTTGATATAGTGCTTTTCACATCTTCTAGACATCTCAAAGCGCTTCACGGAATATACTGTTAAGTGAATTGACTGTATATTTGTGGGTGAAACACAGCAGCCAGTTGCGCACAGCAGTGTCCCACAAACAGTCGTGGATTGAGTGACGAAATTTTTTTAAGGTTTATTATCCCCAGAAAAGCGATCTGCCAATTGATTATTGTTTTTAAATTGGTGATGGCAGTTGCTGTTTGAACATCAATGCTTTATTTATTTCCAGCTTTCTTTTGTTTTGATCGCTTTAGCTGAGTTCCATTGGTTCTGACCTACCTGAGGAGGGAGATGGAGAGGCATGGGGAATAAAGGAAAAATGTGTCAGAGTTAAAGTGTAATAGGTTTAATAACTGCTACTTGGTTCGTATGTGGTTAAGGGGGAAATGGCCAAATTGGGAATCAGGTTTCCCCCAATGCAGTTTTGGCCAAAGTCAGATGGCCTAGTCTTGCTCCACCTATTCTATTGGTTCTGGACTATTTACATTTCCTTGATTTCCCTCCGTTGTAGAAGGTGACACCCTCAAGTATCTCCCTTACTAAAATGAAATAATCTACTATATCAAAATTTATAGAATCAAATAGTAATTTGGGTATTTCTTGTTTAACAGATTGACACTATTTTAATATTGCATGGTACTTTGCATTGTCTGATTTTTAACATTTGAAATTGTTACTAGAGATTGAGAATGGAGGATAGTTTGCCACCAAACGACAAAAAAAATTCCGAACCTTCGATTGCCAAAGATGATTTAATCGGAATGCTTATGAAACGGATGGAACAGCTTCCAGAAGGCGAGAGGTATTTATCTGATTCATATTCTTTCAAAATCGTGGTTGCATGTTCAATGTGCTGAAATACATAAAAATAATACAATATCAAATTACATTTGTATAACGCCTTTCACATCGGGAGGACGTCCCAAGGTGCTGGACAGTTGGGGATTTGAAGCCGAGTGGGGGAGGGGGGGCATACATCAAGCTGTCACTGTCAGTTCATATTTGTAACCCTGCAAGCCAAAGCCATAATGATAGGGTGATATTAATGGCAAGCTATGTGGTTTTGGCTGGTTAGATTCCAGCAGTACCCCAACACAGACTCTTGAAATCCCCAAGCCTTGGCTCTTGCCAAACTGCGCCTCATACTTTCCAGAATTAGATAAGCAGGATGCTTTCCTCCAGGGAAAGAGTGCATTTTCCATTCTAACAATCTATCTATGAAACTCCTATGAGTAGGTCGGATGCATGGACATCTCAGCTTGGTTTGGATCTTAAACATGGTGATGGGTGTCCGTATGTGTCAGACAACTACCCCAAAAATTGTGAGGATAGAGACTAGTCAAAGTAGCACACCCAGAGACAAAGCAATGACAGTAAGCCACATTAAATTGATTTGAACATTTTACACAATGTTTTAATCCAGGATTTCTTGAGTTTGACCTATTAAGATTGTTAGTTTGTATGGATTCTTTTGCATAAGGAAAGACTGAAAAAAGCATTTGTTGCAGAAGAGAAAGTATCCAACTGGGAAGAGGTTGTTAACAAGGACACCATTTTAGATACAGTGATAAAATAATGCACTGAGGCTACATTCTATTATAAATGTGCACATAAATCAAAATATATTTGAGGATTGACTGATTACAAAATGAATTTTGAATTTCATGGTATTTGGAAGGTGAAGTATTTACTCTTTTAAATATTCCTAAATGTGGGAATAGCTTTTGTAGTATGAAGCAAAAATCGCAATTGTTCATATATAGCACTCTTATTTCATTTAAATTGCTATAATGAAAGTTGAAGAATTGTAAACCTTTTGTCTGCTAGTCACATATAGTATGTCATCTTTCTTTACACCACACAGTACTATACTCAAAGTAGAGCCTCATTATTTTTCCATTTTCTTCCACAGAAACATTATTACTTATGGATCAGTCTACCTTGGGATAAATTCAGCATTTGCTGGTTTAATAGCGAACAGTTTCTTTCGAAGAATACTCAATATCTCACAGGCTCGTTTTGCTTCGAGTTTGCCTATGGCAGTTCTTCCATTGCTATCAACTGTAGCACTTTACAATGCTGCTATGATAAAACCTATGATTTCAGGTCAGTAGAAGATATTTTTGTACACATTGTAATACATTTTGCTAGCAGAAAATGTAACCATATCTACCAAGTCCTAGCACTCCAAAACACTGTCCTGCGTGAAGAGTGCTGTATAAATGCAACTTGTTGTAGTAAAAAATGGCAGTTATTTTCAATATAAAGAATATTTCATCTCACACTTGTAATTTTTATTTTGGGGTTGTAGTTAGTCTTACTCATACTTATAAGCTTTATTCGACATAAACTTCATGTTAATATAAGATATGCATTTGATATAGCACATTATCACATCTTCAAGATGTCACAGTATATACTGTAAAGATAATTGACTGTATATTTTCTGGGTGAAATATACACCATTTAAATATCCATTTAATCTTTTTTCTTTCACCACATATGGCTTCAGTGCTGCTCTGCTCAAGGGAGAAATCAGTCCAGAGATTATTCTTTCAACAACAACAAGATTACATTTGTATAGCGCCTTTCACGTCGGGAGGATGTCCCAAGGTGCTGGACAGTGTACAGCATTTCAGACCCGAGCTGGGGTCAGGGGGGAGAAGGGACGGGAGGGGGAGGTGGCTGATGGCATGGTCGAAGAGGAGGGTCTTGAGGCGGGACTCGAAGGAGGCTAAGGAGGGGGTGAAGCGGAGTGATTGGAATTCCAGAGGTTCAATCACTATTCCTAGAAAATAAGTATGGTGTGGACTCTCCACAACACTCAGTCCAGGTAAATGTTTAGAAGATTTCAGAAAAGCTATTAGTATAACAGTGAACTGACTTTAGTATGAGTCAGCAAAATTAGGATAAAGATTGAAAGAAATGGAGGCCAAAATAAAATATACCTTTGGTAATAATTTCATTATTCTTCACATGTGGTTTGTCCTAAGTATTTCATTTCTTGCTTTCTATCCATCACACTTTCTAAATTTACACTGTGATATTTTGACATAAGTTTAGAAGACCAAGAGTTCTTCATTGTTGTATCCTATTGAAATAACTGAGAATTGACAATGAGCAAAACAAAATATGGTGAGGTCAGATACAATTTAAACTTGAGGACAGAAATGATAATATCAAATTGGAGGGGAAGTATAAATGGAGAACAGGCTGATCAAATACAAAGGTAGATTAGAGAGTTGGATTGGCATGTGGCAATGTAATTTGTGTGAATAAATGCCATCTAGACAGAGTGGGAAATATTTTTTTAAAATTGGCCTACACAACATAATAATAATAATTTGATATAGCGCATTATCACTTCTTTGAGACGTTTCAAGGTGCTTCACAGAATATACTGTAAAGTGAATTGACTGTATATTTTGTGGATGAAGCATTGCATGGGAGATAGATTAGGCGTTACTGGAGAATGCTTCATTGAAACCATCATGTTGTGTGGTAGCCATAAAAAAACTGACACTCATTTTATCCCCAGTCATCTGCTAATGTAGATTTAAGATGATTTTTAAAGTCTATCGTACTTTTAAGCAGGCACCCTACATGATTTTTTAAAATCAAAGATTAACTAAATGAACCAGCAGTCCTATCAAGCTTAATTTTCCTTGATACAGTATATATCTGCTTCATTATTCTACAGAGCCTTAATGTCAAATTTACCACTTTTGTTATTTCCCCTTCTCCCACCATCCATGGCCCTTCATTGGAAAGTGTAACATTTAATTTTCTCCAGTTATTTGGCTCATTACACTTGTCCCTAGTTGTGATGCTACCCTTATGCTATTCTGAGACGCTACCCCACCTGAAGGGTTCTATATAAATGTAAGTTGTTATTGCTATTATTGCACTCAAACAGAATGAAGAGATCGCAGTTGGAAAGAGGATGATTAAAATGTTTAAATTGATTCACTTATGCTTTGAAATAAAAATTCTAATAGAAATCTGATTATATCTGTTTTATCAGGTGACTTGGACTGCCCCACTTGTGTTCTAGTTAGAGGAGGATTAGTAGCTTCTCTTGCTGGAGGCCTTTATCCCATTGCTTTGGCTGTGCCCATCAATGCTGGCCTTGCAGTACGGTGAGTATGCTAGCCATCCAGTTATTTTCTATTGCTCTGAATCACGAAGTGCAATGTTATTTCTTCTGTTTCAAATGGTGACTACTACTTGGTTTGTTGAGTACACGTTTTGGCAGCTCTAACAGTTATAAATCAACATGGGGAGGAGGGGGAATGGAGAAGAGGAAGAACAAATATATTCTCCCTACTTGCCTCTTTATTAATTAATAACATGAATGACAATACAATAACAACAACTTGGATTTATATAGCGCCCTGCATGCCGGATGGCGTTCAATAATCACAATAATAAGTGATTCACCATTTATTTCCATTATTAACTGAAAAATCCCAAGAGGTAATTATAAATTGAACCTCAGAATTTTTTTTATATAGAGTTCACACTGGTGATGATCAGTTAAATGTGATATTATCTTGCTTTTTAAATCATTAAAATGGCATAACTTTTACATCAATAAAATATCAGAATACTTGTGATATACTCTACGCGATCATTGGACCTTTCGTTGACAAGGCTGAGATCAATAGTTCACTTGAATGGTGACAAACCCTATTTCTACAACACCTTGACAAGGAGGCATTGAGGCCCTATATAAGTTTAGGAAGACCCTTCTCTTCTATACTCAACATCAATATTTATTCATCTTAATTTCAGCTTATGTAATACATAGATATCTATTTGCTTTAAACTTGTTTTATATTCTAGGTATAATACAGCTCCAATGCCAGAAAAGGGAAATATTTTACAATTCTGGTTAAAAGTCTGTCAGCCAGTTCTGAAGAAAATGAGCTTTGTCTTAATTCTCCAAGCTATCTTTGGCGTTTACCTGAGTTCCAGACAATATGGCATCTACCTGAAAATGTTGGAACTTCCGGCAACTCATACAGATCCTGAAGAATTATCACAGTAAAGCAGGACATTTGTTTAATAATGAAAAGAAAGATACATTGAAAAAATAAATATTGACTTATTTGTGCAATTGTTTCTTTCTACGTTTTGGGTAATAAATGCTTGCTATCCAAACCGGAGTCAGTTCTCCTCTCCCCATAAAAAAACATTTAATAACTTCTACATTTTCAAACTTTTAAATGATGTGTACATAATCACTACAATAAACCATGGAACAAATGGGAAAAGCAATTCCTGAGAAAATATCACAAACTGTTTCTTCCAACACATGGTTTAAAACAACCTTTATGAAAATACATTTTCTTAATTGAACATTTCTTGATTTATGCCATAAACCAATTCAGAAAAAACTGAAAATATACAGCATGGACTTACCTAGACTCGTACAAATGTTCAGAGGGGCCACTTCTGGCCCACAAGCCACAGGTTGGTCACTATCAATGATTTAAAACAGAAGTTCTGCAGCAGTGCCTCCTATATTCTCACCGTCCTCTTTGGAAAGAAACTTCAAGCTCGCTGGTTTTGTACGAGTAGTTACAGTATTTCATTATTCCTACACCTCTCTGATTGGAAAGGAAAAAATTAGGTGGAAGACAGGAGATGATGAGATCAGAAGTGTTGATGGTACAAGACAGAAGAAGGCAATAGTGAGAGATTACAGAAATTAGAATTCTTTTAGAAAATAATGTCTAAGATCAAGCGGATGTGTGACTGGTTATAGAAGAGGCAAGGCTGAGAAGATGGCAGCTGTGTTTAAGGTTTGAAGTGAACAAATTATTAGTTTATCACATTATTCAACTAGTTTTATCCCTTGATGTGTAGTTTATTGCATCAACCCGTTGTTCTTCTCAGACTGGACATGTTGACTCTTTTATTTACATCCCAACAGTACTGTACTTTAATGGGAGCAACAGATAGTAGCACACTTCTTGTAATTCCACAACATCAATGTGGGTAATTCAACTGCTCTAATCATGCAATGTCAGTGCCTGAAAATAAATCCACAAGGAACATACTCTTTACAAAAAAAACGAAAGCAATTGATAGCTTTGTCTCTTTATTACACATATTGCTGTAGCCCAGTTTAGGTCATGCACATTCAGCTGTGATATATATGGAATTGTTAAAAGGATAAGAAAGTTTCCAATTTCCTTATTCATTTGAAATAGTCCTCAACTTCTTTTTAAACTCATACAGGTTTTAAAACTTTATTACACACATATTGTTTGCTAAGTGCTTCAACATAAAAACTTTTCCACATATTTTTCCTGTTTAAAAATTGCAGTTAGAGTTTGTATTATACACAAAGTAAAAGCTTTTTCTGTCACTAATCAAGTTGCAATGTAAAAATGGAAAATAATAAATTGATATCAATATAGGCTGAAAAAATATTTCCATCTCCAAAATTTAAGTATAAATGCATTACTCAGATTTAAGTACAAATATGCTAATATTGTGGAATGCAGTGTAATATCCTAACATTGTGGAATGCACTTTAACATAGCCACAGAAAAATAGTCTTCCTTGAACAAACTGTGCCTCACACATTCATTTTAGTTTAATAAAGATAATCCAAAATAAAAGTCAAGATGCTCCACATTATCAGATCCATTGTGCAGACACAAATGGTGTTTGGTGCCCCAATTTATAAAACAATTACTTTTGGTTTGTATTGCCGTAGTTAGATGATTTGTTTATTTTCCTGACATTTTGCTGAGCATTATCATTCTCAAAGGAAGCATATTTTCTACCCATACATTAGGTTCCATTAACATCTTATTCCATAAAAACGCTTCTTCCTCTGTTGAATCCATCCAATCCACTGGAATTCCATAACTTTTACCTGCATCATAAAATAGTGAAGAAAAGGATTATACAAAGTAACCGATGTTATCTTGTCCTGCAATTGAAGGGGGTAAATTCAAAACTGCAGAAACACTGTTTCAGCATGCAAGTGATAAATCTATGGAACAGACTCCCTAAGAGAAATGGTGGAAGCAGAAAGTGTTGATTCATTCAAAAAGAAAATTAGATAGAATTCTTTTAGAAAATAATATTTTGGGATACAGTACATGAGTAATTTGAAACATATAGTAAGTTTGGAAGAAATAGGCAATTTTGAACCTAAGGTTCCCAAAGTATTCCTCTCTGTTGTAGACTAATCCATAGAGAATTAATTCCTGTCAACATCTCCATTATTGTAGCACACGACTACCAGGATGGTAGAAGACGAACTATCTTGATTTTTTTTGTCTAGCAATTCCTATATTCCTATATCAAGATTATTAGAAAGCTTCTCCTGTATGCAGCAAAAGAATAATAAAAAAATGAAATTTGAAGCATTTACTTGATTTGTAACAAGGTGGCAGTATTTTTCTGACATGTACCATTGTGAATATTATTGGTCGTAAGTAATTTCTATTTCAAAAGATGAACAAATATTTTATTGTATAAAAATAGCTGGGCATCTAGAAGTGATTTTGTTTCCCCAACTGAACCATTAAGCAATAAATTGCAATCCTGTAGCCAGATATTTAAAACAAAGTGGTTAAATTTTGAACCGGTTCTGCCATTCTATAAGATCATGGTTGATCTGTACCTCAAGTCCAATTACCCTTGCCCCATATCCTGTAATACCTGACCTTAAAATTCACAAGGGAGCAATTATTTCTTATTAGTTACTGCAGTGTTGTTAAACTTCAAAGGTACATTTGAGGAAAGCCTATTGCTGTCCTCATCTGCAAGTATAGATGATTACCTTTGCCAAGGCCAATCCTTAGTCCTCCCAGGAAATGATTCACCAACTTGTCATGATCCCAAACTGAAAGTTCAATACATGCATCCTTCAGATCATCAGGCCTCAAGCCATCGTAAACCATTGTGTGATTGAACTTGGGATTTGGGTTTTTCTTCACAACCCGAGTCTTCTGACGGCTCTTTCTGCTAGTGTCTGGTAGTATAAAGCTTGCAAATGAAAAACAAAACATTAAATGTGATTTCAAACCCCCTTCAGCTGATCCCATATCTATAATTAGGCCAACAACCTTCACCTCTTTTAAATTTAAAGTAATGTACATTGTCCTCTGTAAACTGTAACAACTTGTTCCATTGTTGTCAGTTTGACTCAGTTGATAGCAATGTTGTTTCTAGCTCAGACGCTTTAACCCTATAATCACTTATTGGGTTCCTCATCCAGGCTGATACTGTATTCCAATGCATTACTCCATTGTTGGGAGGCACTGCGTTGTTAGAAGTGCCATCCTCAGCATTGAACCAAAGTTCGATCTATGTGTTAAGCAGTTTCAAGCGGACAATGATTCCAAAGCACTATTTTGAAGCCACAATTTGTCTCCAATTCAAATTCAACAAAAATAAATGATTTATTCATCTCATTGTTGGTTGTGGAACCCTGCCAACCATTGCCCTAACAGGTGTTGGTCCGAGCTGGACAAGCAGCAGGAAGCTTGCCAGAGTGTTCTCACCAGATAGTGCTCCCATTGGCAAGCTATGAAGTTTTTGCTGGCTAAGTTTCAGCAGTATCCCAATGTCAACTCCAGTCCTGAACCTTGGTTCTTGCCAACTTGCTTCTAATACTCTTCATAATTAGATAAGTAAGATGTGTCCTTCCAGGGGTAGAGTATACATTCCTTTTCGAGACACAGGGAAATTTACGTGCATAGATAGCACACAAATTTGTAATTTTCAGGTGATTGCAGGCATGATCGAAGAGGAAGGTCTTCAGGTGCGACCTGAAGATGGGGAAGGAGGGGGCAAGGCAGAGGAATAGAGGAAGAGTGTTCCAGAATTTTGGGGCCCAGTGGTTGAAGCGTGGCTACCAATGGTGGAACAGAGGGCACAAGAGACAAGCAGAAGCCTGGAGCCAGTCGAGCAGAGACAGCGGGAGTGGGTTTGGGTGTAAGCAGATCGGAGAAGTAGGAGGTGCCAGGGCATGAAGGGATTTGAAAAAGATTGCAAGGATCTTGAAATCGATCCATTCAGTGATAGGGAGCCAGTGGGGCTAATAGCAGAGCTGGGAGACTGTCTAGGAGAGCATTTCAATAGTCGAGACGGGATGTGACGCGCCCATAGACAAGTATTGGGCTGTGTCTGCGATAAGATACAGTCGGATATACAATATTCTACAAAGAGCCATGAATTGAAAGATTTTTTTTAAAAAAATCCAGGGGATTGTTGGTCAGTACACCAGGAGAAACTCCCATATCTTTGAAATAATGCTGTCAATTTTTAACATCAACAACAACAAGATTACATTTATATAGTGCCTTTCACGTCGGGAGGACATCCCAAGGCGCTGGACAGTGTACAGCATTTCAGACCTGAGCTGGGGTCATCAGGAGAAGGGAGGGGTGGGGAGGCGAAGTGACCGATGGCATGGTCGAAGAGGAGGGTTTCGAGGCGGGACTTAAAGGAGGCTAAGAAGTGGCGAGGCGGAGTGATTGGGGGATAGAATTCCAGAGGTTAGGGGCAGAATGGCTGAAGGCTCTCCCTCCAATGGTGGGTAGGGGGACGTGGAGCAGGCCGGAGCTGGCTGAGCAGAGAGCGCGAGTGGCTTGGTAGGGGGTTAGGAGGTCGCAGAGGTTGGGTGGGGCAAGGTCATGGAGGGCTTTGTAGGTGAGGACCAGGATCTCGAACTGGATCCTCTGAATGATAGGGAGCCAATGGAGCCGGGCAAGAATGGGGGAGATGGGTGTCACGGAGTTTGGTGCAGGAGAGGACATGGGCTGCAGAGGTCTGGATTATCTGCAGCCTGTGGAGGGAGGAGTTGGGAAGACCGACAAGCAGGGCGTTTGCATAGTCGAGCCTGGAGGCGATGAAGGCATGAACAAGAGTTTCAGCGGCCTGAGGGGTGAGGTAGTGGTGGAGTCGGGCAATGTTACAGAGGTGAGGGAAGGCAGAACGGGACATGGATTGGATGTGGGGAAGAAAAGACAGTTGAGGGTCGAACAAGACACCTGGGTTCCTGACTGGTTTGGTGAGTTGGTGAGTTGTAGTGTGCAACCATGGAGGTTGATGCTGCCAGAGCCTGAGGTGCTGAGGTGCTGGCGTGAGCCAATCAGGAGGGCCTCAGTCTTGTTCACATTCAACTGTAGGAAATTTGCCCTCATCCAGGACTTGATGTCTGACAGTCAGTCTGTCAGGACAGCAGTGGTCCTGGAGTTGAGGGTGGAGGCAGAAAGATAGAGTTGGGTGTCATCCGCATACATATGGAAGTTGACCCCATGTCTGCGGATGATGTCACCAAGGGGGAGCATGTAGATATTAAAGAGAGGGCCAAGGACAGAGCCCTGGGGAACACCAGATGTGACAGTGCGGGGGCTGGAGGAGAAACTGTTAGCGGCAACAAAGTGGACACGGTGAGAGAGATAGGATTCGAACCAGGCAAGGGCAGATCTGAGAAGATTAAGTAAAGAGGAGAAGCGGTGTAGGAGGATGGAGTGGTCGACCGTGTTGAAGATGGCAGAAGTCAAGGAGGACAATAATAATAATAATCCTTGCATTTGATATAGCGCTTTATCATGTCTTAAATGTCCCAAAGCGCTTCACAGAATATGCTCTTAAAGTGAATTGACTGTATATTTGTGGGCGAAATGCGCAGCCAATTGTGCACAACAGTGTCTCACAAAAGTCATGGATTGAAAATGACCAATTTATTATTGTTTTTTGGAGGGATCATTGTTAGGCGTGTGGAGTAAGGAAACTTGCCCAAGGTTTTGTCCTGCGTAGAATTGAACCCAGGTGTCTCATTTGCAAGGGTCCAGGGAAGCTTATTCAGAATGGGGGTGATGACGGCTGTTTTTAGGGGGAGTGGGAACTGAACCGGTTGACAAGGAGAGTTTGATGATGTCAGACCAGGAGAGGGGCCAGAAGGTGGAACTGGAGATGAGGAGAGAGGTGGGGATGGGATCGACGGAGCAGGTGGTGGGTTTAAGTTTGCGAGTTAACGCCCACCTTAATAGGCAGGTGGAAACTCTGTTAATGTTTGATCCAAGGGTTCATCAATGCCTACATTCCTCCACATTGCATTGAAGTAAAATGTCAGCCCCCAACTTGTGGCTTCAATCCACAATATTCTGAATGAGAGGCTGTTTCTCAGCTAATTTTCCTATCTTCATCTACCTTAGTAGATGAAGATAGGAAACTATCTAATAGTTTATATATAGTTACAGATTATTCCTACTGCTTGGTAAATCAGTAACAATGGGGCATAAACAAGGAATGATTACTGCAACAACAACAACAAATTACATTTGTATAGCGCATTTCACATCAGGAGTCTGTCCAAGCTGGACAGTCAGGGATTTGAGCCTGAGTTGGGTTCAGGGAGGGTAGAGAGTGTAGGATGGTGGCCAAAGCCACAGTCGAAGAGGAGGTCTTGAGTCGTGCCTTGAAGGAGGCAAGGGAGAGAGCAAGGCGAAGGGACTGTAGGATGGAGTTCCAAAGAGGGGTCAGAGAGACTGAAGACCCGACCGCCGATGGTGAGGCGGGTTGGATGGGGGGACATGGAGCAGACCAAAGCCATGGAGCAGAGCAAGAAGACAGGCTGATATGGCAGTTTAGACAAAATTTCACACAGAACTATTCAGTGATCCATACATGTCAAACTTCACTTGACATCAGGTTAGGCTCAGCTACGATGTCCCTTGCAGTCAAGTAGCCTGGTCCACGCCTTTGTCACCTCAAGGCTGGACTATGGGAACTCTCTCCTCGCCGGCCTTCCCGCCACCTCCCTCCACAAGCTGCAGGTCATTCAGAACTCTGCAGCTTGTGTACTGTCCCGCACCAGGCTTCGGGACCACATCACTCCCACCCTCGCTCGCCTCCACTGGCTCCCCATCCCCCAGAGGATTGATTTCAAGATCCTCATCCTCACCTACAAGGCCATTCACGGCCTTGCGCCCTCCTACCTCTCCAACCTACTATCCCCCTACCTACCTGCCCGTACCCTCCGTTCCTCCGGCTCCGGTCTGCTCCACGTCCCCCGCCCCAATCGCCCTACCATTGGTGGTCGGGCCTTCAGCCCCGAGGCTCTGGAACTCTATCCCCCAGTGCCTTCGCCTTGCTTCCTCCCTCTCCTCCTTCAAGGCCGGTCTCAAGACCTTTCTCTTCGACCGTGCCTTCAGCTCCCCTCTCGACTCTCTTCCCCCTTCTCGCTCCCTCCCATCCCTCCCCTCACCCTGACCATTTCCCCCCTCCTCGCTCCCTCCCCTCCCCTCACCCTGACCATTTCCCCCCTGCTCGGGTCATGACCCAACTGTGCAGCGCCTTGGGACGTCCTCCTGACGTGAAAGGCGCTTTATAAATGGAATCTCGTTGTTGTTGTTGTTGTAGCCAGCTCACACTGTAATAATCACAATCTGAAAAAATTCTATGTGACTGGTATCTACATAACTGTATAGGAGTCAAAATGTCATCAGGAGAGAAAAGCATTGTGCAAGCAAAAATATTATAACAGGAAATAAATACATATTTACAGTGGTAGAACAATAGTAAAATAATTGTATTACCATTTAACAAATGGATCCACACCGCTCTTCCTAATCTGGGGTAAATTGATGGCTTCCTTCACCCAAATGTGCACCTCTCCAGTTTTATTTCCTAAATAAAGAATGATAAATTAACACATTGATAGAGCACAAAAATTGCTATTAATTATTAACAGATATTAATATACCTTGAGATCCTTTAGGAATATGACGGAGAGCCACTTTTAGATTTCCTCTGTTATCTAGGCTGTTAGCGGAAGATGTCTGCATAAAGAGACAAAAATAAACTCAATTGTCTCACTTGCACTTCATCATAACAATATTAAGTCCCAAATTGTATTTGGTCAGCTGGATATCTGACACGTGGAAAATGATTACAATGCTTAAAAGTATCCTGACAGTCACAATAGCTTATCTCATTATGATTAACCTATCTATGTCTCACCAGATCTCTCAATCACCTCTCTCTGGAAAGAACTAGTTGGGCTCTTGATGCCATTTATAAAGTCTAGTTTAATGGCCTTCCCTAGTATCTTATTCCACAACCTTATTATCCTTGATATGAAATGTTCAATTAAACTTCCATGCTTATTCCCAACTGTCCTAATTTTTAACTTGCATCTTCAATATTTAAAGCCATTTGCATCGTGACTTTTGTTTCTCCTAAGAAACAAATTCCCCACCTCTCCTGAAGGAATTCATGCTGTGTAGTTTAATGGTCTCAGGATATTCATCATGCGTGAGCTATTTGGTTGTAAAGGGTATCAGAGCAGATTCTAATCTACTTTTCACCTTACATCCATGCATCTGTACTCAGTGGTCACTGAATAGAAAAGGAACCCTAGCTTCCCACACAAGCACAAGTTGCCCAGGCTATTTGTAACATCTCTGCTGCCAATGCATCTTCGAATTATAAATTGGCAGAGACGAGAGGATCACATATGGGACCTTCATGGTCTGCATGGCTGAGCCTTTAATTGTAGGATCCTATCTTGTTGGATCCTTCAATTAAATACAAAATGTATTGGCGTGCACAGTTCTGTGCGCGTTCAAAAGCCATTTATACTGGAAGGACACAGCTGAAAATTCTGCCACTATTCACTGTGAGGAATATTTATTGTCGTAAACCTGTGAAAATTCCAAAGTGCAATGAAAGCAATATCACACAACACTTTTTAAACATAGATAGGTAAGTTACCCTTGGTTTCAAGTCGTACCACTCCATTTTCTTGTTCTTCCAGTCCCACGCTTTCATTTCTATTTCCACTTCACCGAGAAAACTGTTATGCCCAAATCTGTCATTGTGCCAGACAGAAAGGTTCAAGATCTGAGCCATCAGAATGCTTTTCTCAACTTTATACTGTCAAAAAAAAGAGAAGATATTTAACCAATATAAAACTGATGAGTTTATAAATAAGATCATCACAGTACTGGACATGAATGATTATCAGGCAAACTAGTTCAGTGCTTAGTCACGAAACTACAGTACAATATTAATAATAATCCTTACATTTGATACAGCACCTTATCAAGTTTCAAAGTACTTCATAGGATTTTACAGTAGCATATAACAACTGTAGGAATATTTCTAATGACATTTGTAATGTATGCATACACATTTACTTCAAATTAGTTGTCACTTGTACATTTTCTTAATAGCATCATCAAGCCTTATAATGTCACAGCAGTAAAACAAACTCAAACCACACAAATGCATTTTGTATATGTATCTGCCATATACATGTAAATATATATTACATGTATAAAATGTATATCTGCCACTCATATTAGTTCAATTTGTTACAAAAAAGAAATTTTGTAATTCAAGCACATAATGGATTGAACTACTCAGCCTGTTCGTTTTTTTAAATTGTAAAGGTATTCTTCATTTCCCCTCTTTTAAGGATTCTTGCCACACATTTCATACTCCAGTCCAGAGAGTATGAGCATATAAATAATAACAAAAATAATCTTTGCATTTGGTATAGCATCATTCATGGCAGGAAGACATTACAAAGGATTTCATTGTGAAGTTGAGTGACTGTTTATTTGTAGGTGAACACAGATCCCAACTGTTCACAGCAATGTCCCACAAACAGCCATGAAATGAATGATGAATTTTATTTATTTGGGAGGATTGTCGGCCAGGACACCAAGTGAAACTCCCTTCCTTTTTCAAGTAGTGCCATAGGATTTCTTACAGTCCACCTGAACAGACAAACAGGACCACATGTGGGCTTGTTACCTAATCTGAACTCAGCACTGTGGGGGAAGAGATTAAGAATTTCTATTCCATCATGACATCATGCATAAAACACATTTAAAGCATAAGATATAATGCTTTAGGCTTGTTTTTAATTTCATTAGTAACAGTAGAGCAAACTAGATTCATTCTCCAGTGAATAATTATAAAGAGCACGTCAGTTTAAATTGGTAACTCTATTTTAGGTTATTTTTGACCCACGTTTGTAACATTTTCACCCACAAAATATACAGTCAATTCACTTTACAGTATATGGAGTCCTGTAGCTCAGTGGTTTGAGCACTCGCTTTGCAAGCGAGAGACCTGAGTTCAATTCCAGGCAGGGCGAAACCTTGGGCAAGTTTCCTTACTCCACACGCCTAATAATAATCCCTCCAAAACCAAAAACAATAATAAATTGGTCATTTTCAATCTACAACTGTTTGTGGGACATTGCTGTGCGCAATTGGCTGCCGCGTTCGCCCACAAATATACAGTCAATTCACTTTACAGTGTGTTCTGTGAAGCGCTTTGGGACGTCCTCCCGACGTGAAAAGCGCTATATCAAATGCAAGGATTATTATTATTATTATTATTATATGCTGTGAAGCGCGTTGAGATGTCTCAAAAATGTGATAAGGCACTATATCAAATTCAAGGATTATTATTATTTTGAAATTAATGTTAAGAAGCAGCAAATATAGAACAAGTTTCACAACTGCTGTATCCTTGTTAATATCAACCCAGCCCCTTTAAAATGACCAATATCCTCTCTTACCCGTAGTATTTCATTGTAGACTGGATTCAGGGTTTTCTTTTTCACAGATGTCTTCTTCTTACCCAACTTAATCTTTTCTTGAAGTAGGTAAGTTTTAACGTATCTGATAAAAAGTGAAGGCTTATTAGATGATGAACTCAAAAGGACACGATAATTCAGTGGGTAATATTTCATTGCTCAGTCTGAATTCTAATCCAGCACAGAATCCTAAATATTTTTCTTTGCGTACTAGAAACAATTAGGGCTGAATAATTCCACTCATCAGGTTAGGTTGTGTTAAGATGTATTATTAATAATATTTGCATGTAATATAGACCCTTTCACCTCAGGAGGACATCTCAAACCATTTCACAGGATTTTGTAATTTTGATAAAACGAAGTAGTAAATGCTCATGATAATGATGTTGCTTTAAATTACTGTTTTGAATATGTTGAGAGCGCCACCTCTCAGCCTTGGTTCATGTCTTTCATTAGCTTTGGTTTCATTCCCCTCTTGAAACATGAATATGCTAATTTCATGAGATGTTATAGGTAAACGCGAAAGTTGTTCATTTCTAGGTAGTGCAGAACATTGCACAATTAATATCAGTATGTTAAAACTGTATTTTATATCCAGATTTATCTTCATGTATTCTTGAACAGTTGCAGTTAGGTAAATGTCAAACCAAATCTCAGTCTTACTAGAACTGTCGTTTGATATGTGATTGCAAAGCTACAAAAAGAAAAACATGAAAGACAAACAATTAAAAAGATTTACTAACGGGTCAGATCGATTTTTCTTCTCTTCAGCAGCAGCTAGATCTGAGCACCGGACCACAAAGATATGGAACTCGTTCAGCTTGTCTATATAATCCAGTGAAAACTGAAGTCTGCCTTTGACATCATTTCTGAAGTCACCACTGTAGATGCTCATGACACTCCCACCAATCTGCTAACATTCAAACAGTTCAAAAGGCAACACAATTAGTCAAGGCAATGGTTTCAAACAAAGTATTTGATTGAAGTTTTTAATATCATTTATAAAAATAGACTCACCTATTATTCTTTCAGCATTATATAATTTTTGCTGCTTTTTTGGTATTCATTTTAGATTCAGTTCCATGTACTGTTAGTACAGCTTAGGAAATGCTAAATCAGGCGCCCTATACCTGGCCATGCTAATTAGGTGGTCCGTTCTGTCTTATATTTAGAACTACACATTACGGAGTAAATTATGGATGCTAACAGGAGCTTTCCCAGAGCTTATGGGACTCCTTCACCTTGGTGAAATAAGTGTGGGGGAGGAAGGACGCAGTGAGATTATAGAAGTGAGTGACATCCCAAAAAGTCCATTAGGTTTTAAGCTGTAACTCTTCACACAAAAATTAAAACAATTCTGATTCAACACTAAAAATACAAAGTGTCTTCATAGAGGCAGACATAGCTGGCTCGGTTCTGTAATTGCTACAGTTAGATTGAACATCGTAATGCAACAGAGCTACACATATTTTAAACTATTCTCACTGGCAACGAAAACCCACAAGTAACTCACATGAAAGTGAAACAAGGCTGGCCAGGGGTAAAATTATAAAAACATTTTAAAGTATGAGAGCTGAAGTTATTTAACTTGAGCCCTATTGGAATCATTCTGTCCCACATGCCTGATGGAACTTTAACCGCAAAGGTAATACCAAAAGCCTTTTTCACCCCGGTTTTGATTTTTTTGGTTGCAGAATGGAAAACGGTAATTTGCCAATAAACATTTTAACTGTCATCATTGCTTTATGTGGGCCCAATATATATTTGTGTGTGGAGAAGTAGCAAAATTCTAAATATAGCACAGAAGAGACCATGTCTTTCAATAATTAAAAGGATACGTGCAACTGTACCAACAGTGGTCTTTTTCCATCAGTCTGTCAATTATATTTTATAAAGGGAATAGATCCTGCTAGCTTGACAGAGCTGTCATTTTAAAAACACAGCACAAACTTTCAGGCAGTGCATGGTACCATACAGTTCACTACTGCAATAAACAACCCTGACAGGTAGCACAGGCTGCATTATCAATTTCATCCTATCTTGCTTTGCTCTAAATCACAATAAAGGTTCATGAAGATAAAAGTTATAACTCTGACAATGGACTGACAGAATTTTGCAAAATAAATTGTTCCTTTATAGGAGGGAATAATTTTGGAAGCAGCCATAATATTTATTTAGACAGGCATTTGATTGTTTTAAATATCCCAAACATGTTTGTTCATATTTGATGTTTTGATCTTGTTTTTAACTCACATTTAATTTTACATTTCTCCTGAAAGTGCTCAGACATGCACCAGCTCTCTTCTACTTTTTCAGCGGCCATTCTTCGTATGTTAGTCATCAGTGAAGGCATTGTAATTGTAATTACTCAATTGTAATTGAGCGCAATGCTGTCCTCACCCAATACCCACAAGTGAGTATTATTCAACAAGGGTAACTGGAAAGTAATCGGGTATCCTGGTTGAATTTTCTCCTCCTTAACCCATTCTATTCTTCTGTTCAGGATTCTTCTATTCATTCTATAGACTCACTTTTAGTTAAGCACATGCCCCTAGTTCTTCCTTATTTTATTTCTAAAATGGCCCATTTAAATCTACCTTATCTATATATCCTACTGTTAAAAATCATATCCCTCCTATCTTTTTTCTAACACTCAGTTAACTCACCGACAAATACACAGCTACTGTACTTTACATCAAAACCGTATGAAACGCTTTGAGATTTTGACAGTCTACTATGTGAAATGCATGGATTAGTATTATTAGGGCTAGGGTTCTATTATTACAATTATTCTCAATACCAAAAATATAAAGTCTCTTACTCCTGATTATGATCTTATAACCTCAGAGTATGAGGGTGCCAAATGAGGAAAGACCAGAACCTCTCAGTCAAACAGTCTGAACACACATTAACAAGGTTCACCTATGAATATGGCTTTTTAGCCAAAGAACTGGAGCAACAGGGACCCTTATAATGATAAGAATAATAATCCTTGCATTTGATATAGAGCCTTAGCACATCATCGAAGCATCTCAAAGTGCTTCATAGAAGATTTACACAAATGTTTTGAGATCTTTGAATCAATTAAACTTATATTTCAATGAACAATCAGCACTGTAGATTACAAAATTATTCTCCTAAAAAGGGATTTATTTTGCAAAATAAAGTTGTTACCTTGCCAGCATTCTGAGAAGATACAAGGTTTACGCAGAAAGAGAAAAGTTAAATACTATCAGTGTTGGAGGTAAGGCAAGAATTGAATCAAGCAACCTCCATTAAAGTAGAACCACAAATTTGATCTTAATGCTGAGAAACCCAAGACAGATTCACGGTGCAGGTCAGTTATATTGCTCATTTTCATTTGATTTTTAAATTTACTACCTGCAGTCTGCCTGTGCTATTAATACAAAAACACATGAAACAAGAAAAGGCATCCCACTCTCTCATAGACACTGAAATTCATCTCCCTACTCCATGCTCTGGAAAAGAACATTAGTGGCTATCGCTCTACTTTTTTACATTTAGGCTGGGTTTGTCATGCCAGATTAATATACAATGCGGCAAATAAGACATTGTGGATGCCACAATAGGTTCATGCAAATTGGTTAGGATTCTGGTATGCTGAGGGCACTGAAATAACAAAATGACCAGACTCCAGCAAGGGAACTGTACCAAAATATAACACAGATGCAATCCTCGTTCAACTGCGTACAATGCCACTGTGAGAAGATACGATAACTGCAACCCAGGATGACTCTCCCTCCTCTGTGTGGTGTGTCCTTCACTCGGTGCTTGAGCAGAAATCTTAAATCAATGCCGTATTTGAAACAGAAGTCAGTCCAAACAGATTCTGACACAACAATGGGGACCACTGGGTATGTGGGTGCGAAACACAAACACAAACATGGCGTGCTTAAAATAAGATTAATAGAAGCTGTGCAATGCAATAAAGCACAGGGTTTACATACGGAGGATAAGGATGCCATGCCAGAGGAGTTGCTATTGATTGTTAGAGAGCCAAGACTCTTTCTGTGCCCATCCATCTGGATGCTGCTGCCTGATATCGAATCCGTATCAACACCATTCTAAAAAAATTCCACAATAAAATTAAAACATCATCTGTTTTACAATACCAGCAATACAGTTTTATGTTTTTAACCAAATTGTCAGCCTTCAACAGATTTGAGATTTGCCTTTTAAAGTTATTTGTTAAATAATCTAATGGAAAACAGGGGAAGGTTCACATTCCTGTAGGACAAGTACTAATAATCTTCCAGTCTATTAGCATGGAAACACAATATTCTATACTTAGTCTGTTGTTATTAATCAGGATTTTGACTTTTAAAAAGATGTTTAATGCCAAGTGGAATCACACTGACATTTTTAATTGAAGAAAATAATTTTTTTTTAAATCGACTTAACATTACAAATATTACAAACGTACCTCAAAAGTAGAAATAAGAATCCTTACATTGAAATAATGCCTTTTAAGTTTGGACGATATCTCAAAGCGCTTCACAGGATACACTGTAAAGTGGCGCAACTGTGCATTTTGTGGACAAAAGTGCAGCCAATTTGTGCACAGCAATGTCCCACAAACATTCATGAAGTAAATGATCAATTTTATGTGAGGGATTATTAACCAGGACTCTAGGAGAAACTCCTTTCTTTTTTTCGAACAGTGCCATAGGATCTTTAAAAGGCAGACAGGAACTTGGTTTAATGTCTCATCCAAAAGACAGCACTTCCAGCACTGTATTGGAGTGTCAGCATAGACTATATAAGTTCCAAGTCCCAATAGGGGCCTGAAAGCATAACCTTCTGACTTAGAGGCGGGAATGTTACCAACTAAACCAGATGATAGCAAGTAATTTACTTGAAATACAGTCAGTTTTCTGTATTCAAATGTGGTGTAAATATATCTAAATAATGATGGCAATTAGAATACACAATGGTATATTATTAACTGGGCAACAAATGCTCTGTTACTTCCATAATGCTAAGGTCAATAATTTACCATCAGAGCTCTCGCATGTCTGACATTATTTAATTCTCAAACATTTCTTGTGTCATACAAAAAGAAATAGCTTACCAATTATAACCTAAAAGCTACCCTCAGTACGGTATTTAATTTCACAACAATTGTCCCCACTGGACTCCACTGGTTTCCCATCCAATTCAGGATCCTTGTCGTTGTGTTTAAATCTCTCCACGGCCTCGCCCTACTCTACCTCTGGGACCTCCTTTTACCTGATGCAAGAATTCTTCTATGGTCCATTTACGACTCGATTGATGGCTGAAGAAAACACCATTCTGAGTTACAAGTATGAGCAAAAACTAATTTTTCCAGTTATGTAATAAACTCTCCCAATGCACTACACCACAATGTAGTGCATTGGGAGAGTCATTAACTTCACAGGGTACATATACTGAATGTCTAAAACGTAAGCTATTGGCAACTGACATTACTAAAATTAACATATTGAGCTCCTAAAAGCTTTTGAGAACAAACTTACAAAATAAATAATTGACACAGTACTTGTGACTAAATGAGTACATCTACAACCAACATAATATGAAAATTGTTGCCTTGTGGTTTTGGCTTCACTGTGTCGAGTATCTGTTGTAAAAATGCTAACTATAGGCAATTCTGACAAGAACTGGCTCCTGATATTGTTTATACTAACTGTTGATTTTACAGAAGCTATGGCTTCTCCCTCTCTCATCTCTAACACCAAGATAGAGCACATCCACTTCATCCCCATCTAATTGAAGGGTACATAGAGAAAGCAATGAAAACATCAGGGGACAAATAAGCTTAATATCTAAAAATAAAAACAAAAAATATTAGACATATTTTTCATGTGCCCCTTACCTCTGGAAGTACCTGTTCTGACTTGCTCAAACGCTTCATCTTGTCTGATTTTAAAGACTGGCGTTGTGAGGATGGTGGAAATTTGGAAACTGGACATAAGATAAAGACACACCAAGCTTCATTAAAAAAAATTCAAGATATTCTTTTAAAATCAAGTACTGAGCAATATTATTTGGTTTCAAGCTGCCTATTGCACATCACTGCTGTGTGCAAATCAGCTGCCATGTTTGTCTGTAAAAATATAGTCATTAAACTTTACAATGAATCATGTAAAATACTTTGAGAGGTCCTCCTGTTTTGAAAGTTTTATCAAATGCAAAGATTATTATCATATTGTATTCTATTATAACCTACATTGACTGCGATTGTGTTTATAAAATCTAGTGAAAAATCTGATTATCTTACAGAATAAGGATGGAGAAAATGTTTCACACTGCATCAATATTATGAAGCGATCAAAGAACAATTAAATAAGAATAGTCTTTACTGGATCTAAATTACAATTTCATTTCAAATTTGATATTTTATCTTCTATATTTAACAAATGGGATTCTTGGGAGATAAATAATAAACCTTTAGTTAAAATAATTCAATTTGATATTAATTACTGATCCAGGTAAGCATACACACTTGACACTGTCTCGAACTAATTTTATGTAGAAAGGGTCTTCAGTAAAGAGGGAGGCAGGGAGATAAACATTCATGCAATCACTTGGAACTCGATTGAAATTAGAAGTGATAGTGCAATAAATGTCTACAATATCTAAGCCGCTCAGATCTATTTTTCTATCTTTTTTTAAGTAGCAGATGCTTCACGTTTTACACACACTAATAATATTAAATTTGCCAATGTATTAACAAAAATGTATTCACCATCATTGGTGCTGAGAACCATTTCGTTTTTTGCAGGATCTAAGTTTCTTGGTTCTGTTTTGAAATAAATATAAAAGGTAAGATTATTTACAACATCATGATGGTTTCAAGCAAATACTAATTAGACAATGAAGCAGAGATTTAAAACGTTTAGGGGAAAAGGAGGGAATTAATACAGACAGTATTTTACATTCAAAGACAAACAACAATAATAACTTACATTTATATAACAGGACAACAAGTGACTTGCACCACGAATAATCAGCATAAATAAAGCTAAATAAAATAATTAGCGTTATTTCAGATCGACTTTACCCTTACAAGAAGATTCTTACACTTGAAGTAATCCGTAAAACAACTTGGTTCAATAAAAGGTTTTTGAAGAATATACCATTTGTTGCAATGCACTCGTTTACTGTCCTCTACAATTCTGAGTAGTCCTCCAATGACTCCACATTTGCAATGCTGCAATGAACAATTCTCCTCTGCTCTCCCCAACACTTTGCCCCGTTGTACAGGAAAAATCTTTTTGCAATTAGAAATTTGCATGGATGCATTACATTCACATTATCCCCAACAATGCAATACATAACCCAAATGGATCAAGCTATAATTTGACCATTTGAGTTAACAAAGCGTGAAAGCATTTATGGTATTTTTCTCTTTCTATGTTTACCCCATCAGATCGATAAAGTAACAATTACATTTTCAGGCCCTCAAAGACAATTTGTCATTTTCATCTGTATATTTTAAATCTACCTTAATGTGAAAGATTCTAGTTAACAAAGCTTTGAGGAAATAGTTCACAAGGACCAAAGCCACAATTGAATTGCTTCATTGCACCAATAAATAACTAGTTCAACAACACCATTAAATAGTCAGTTATCTGTACCAAAAGAGCAGCAAGTAGAATGGGAAGAGAGTTTCCTCACTTTGTTTTTAAAAAGCTGCTGCCTCAGCTAAATGAACAAGGAAGGCAATAAAGAGACAGGAGGCTTTCACCACTCGCTAGAATAGTTTGTTCTCTTTTCTTAAATATCTAAATATTAAAAGTTTAGTGGGGTAGTAGACTGTATATGTTAATGATTTAAAATAGATCAGGTATTATGAGTACTTCAACCCTGTCAATATTAACAGAAATAAATCTGCTGCCACTTTCCTTACTGTAAGAGACACAGTCTCCATTCAATTCCTCCCATTTTCAATATCAGTATAAATTGGAAGGATTGTTATTTTATCTATTTATAGTTCCAATGGCCAATGGGGACAGAAATGTGCACTTTACACTTTAATAACAATCTTGCTTTTAATATAGCGCCTTATCACATTGTCGAGACGCCTCAAACAGCTAAATATGAAGCACACTCACGTGATATAGTTGAATAGATATCCTGCAGACTTCTGGAGGTTTCAGATGTACGTGACTCTCTTCTTTTCAAAGCAGCCATTTCTGCACCTGCTAAAAAGTATAAATGTACAGGGTGTCCAAAAAATCTTATTTTTCAGCTACCCTGTTATCTAAAACAAATCATTTCTTTATTAGATATTTTAATCTTATCACAACTTTTTGGTCACACTGTAAAATCATGGCAGTTTCACAGTGTTGCCTTTAAGGTGTTCCGTAATACACAAATGAGAAAACCATCCAAATTTTCTTTCAACATTTCTTAGTCTCAACTTGTAAACTGGGGTAAGGTAAGTCAGCGAATTAATGCCTGATTTTTATACAAGGCAAGAATAGGACTAAAATGAATAAATCTGGTTCACAAATGAGTAGTCTCAAAAACACACAAACCACAAATTGTATTGTAATTGTGTGCTATTATAAATGAAGCAACAAATGCAGTTTGCAAATATTGCATTTTAGACACCAAATGTGGACAAATACGTGTTCTGACCTGGAAATGTTGGATGCTGACAAGAGATGATAAAGCAGGGAAAAGACTCCATTCTCAACATTTGCAAACCTCATCAAAAAACAGAACAAATTCACTGAAAATTTTTAATACAAGGTAAAGCACCAATTTTTTTTGTTTGCTAAAATTTAAAGAAATAAGACGGAAAGGGACTTTTCCTCCACAATTCACCTGTTGGCATATAATTGGAGGACTCAATGTGGGATCGACACCTTGGGTTTCACACCCACAGTATCCTGAAAATAACAACACCATACAGTGAGAGAAGAGGGAGAAGAGGGATTGAAAAAAAAGTTAAAATTAATACATGGCTACATATTTGGGCTATTCCCACAAATCACTCAAGAACAGACTGATAAGAGAAATTGGAGACAGCCAATCTAAAGATGGAGAGAGGGATTATTTTACTTATATTCTTTATAAATTTAAGGAAAGCAATATGAGAAATTAAAGAAAAAAAAAAAATTTTCAACTTTGTTAAAAAGACAAAAGTTAAAAATCCATCACTAGTTCCAGTCATCCATATGTTTAAGGTAGCCTACAATGAAGTAACAAGTAATTTTCTTTAAGCTAAATATTTCCTTTTCTACAAACAAATTTTTTTATTACATAAGTAATGTTTTATATTTGGATAACTGTCTTAACAAAAAAATATATATTTCTCTACCAGTTGAAATACAATCAAATGGATCAAAATCTATTCATGTTTCAGGGAGACCAGACATGAAGCACCCTCACCAAAATATATTAACATCGATAAATTTGCTCCACACTGAAGTGAACAAACATAGTAGCCAAAAAATGTAAAGCCAATTCCTAACATAGGAAGTGTAAAGTGAGAAACTTTGAGAAGTCTTTGAAAGAGGCAGTAATTGTATTCCAATGATCTAAGTGTCACCATGACAATCAAATTATCTTGTGTCATCTTGACTAATTTAACAATTCTTGTCTCTGAGTCAAAAGTTGTGGGCTCAAACCCCATATCATAGCTGAAGATCATAGTCTCGGCTTCTAGTAAGATATTAGATTGACAGAGGAGTTGCCTTTTGGATGTGACATTAAACCTATCTGGTGGAACATTAAGAATCACAATGACATTCGACAAGAAAATGAGATTTCTTCTGATGTCCTGATCAACAATTCTCCAGATTAACTGGTCGTTCAGCTCAAGGTTATTTGTGAGGCCTTGGTATCAGAAACTGGTGGCTGAGTTTGCTTACAAAAATCACTACACTTACAGAATTTCCTGTAAATCAAATTGTATCAACATGATAGGTAAACACAAGTTCTTTCTTAAATGGAAAGCTTTGGACCTGACCTGGGGTTTGAGATCCGGAGGGCAGGGGCAGGGAGGGTAGAAGGGTGACTGAAGGCACAGTCGAATAAGAGGGTCTTCTGACAGCCCTTGAAGGAGGCAAGGGACAGAGTGAGGGGAAGGGACTGTGGGATGGAGTTCCAAAGGGTTGGGCCAGAGAAGCTGAAGACCAGACTGCTGATGGTGGGCAGAGAAAATGGAGCAAGTCATAGTAAGTGGATAGGTCTATATGGAGTTAGCAGGTCACAGAGATAAGGAGGAGCAAAGCCGTGGAGAGTTTTCAAGGCAAGAATGAGGATTTTGAACTGTATCCTCTGGGGAATGGGGAGTCAGGTGAGGATGGGGGTGATAGGGTTGCAGAGGTTGGTGCGCGAGAGGACATGCATAGTTCTGAATGATCTGCAGCTTGTGGAGGGAAAAGTTGGGAAGGCCGACAAGCAGGGAGTTAGCATTATGGGGATTATATAAATGCAGCTGATGGCGGGTGCTGTATTGTAAAACAAAACATTGCTCTAATATTGAACGCTTAGCATGTCTGGACAACACCAGCTCACTCACAAAACTGTTGTTAAGGCTGGGTTTTAACTGTATTTTCTTTTGTACAATGATTATGATCAGTGATGACAGTATACCCCTACCAAAAAACATTTTCATAAAAGAGAACAAGGAGCGTCTCTCTCTCTGTGTCTACTTGGGTAGGAGTAATGTTGCATGTGTATCCATTTACACCAAAAAGAATGAACGTATTTTTTCCAACTTTAGTAGAAGTTTAGGAGCAACAGGTGTGGAGGGCAAGGACTCTTTGTGCACTTGTATGTGGATGTAGTTTGCTCAAAAGGTACCATCGACATTGACAGATTTTTAAAAAATATATATTAATGACCTGGACTTGGGAATAGAAAGCAAATTTTTTAAATTTGCAGATGACACAAAACTTGGAAACATAGTTTCCATGGGGCATAATCTTAAAATTAGAGCTAGGCCATTTAGGAAGCTGTTTTACACCCAAAGGGTAGTGGAAATCTGGAACTCTCTTCCCCAAAAGGCTGTGAATGCTGGATTCATTTGATTTTCAAGACCAAGGTAGATAGATAATAATAATAATAACAATCCTTGCATTTGGTATAGCGCTTTTCACGTCTTCTAGACGTCCCAAAGTGCTTCACAGAATAGACTGTAAAGTGAATTGGCTGTATATTTGTGGGCGAACGTGGCAGCCAATTGCGCACAGCAGTGTCCCACAAACAGTCATGGATTGAAAATGACCAATTTATTATTGTTTTTTGATTTGGAGGGATTATTATTAGGTGTGTGGAGTAAGGAAACTTGCCCAAGGTTTCGCCCTGTGCCTGGAATTGAACTCAGGTCTCTCACTTGCAAAGCGAGTGCTCTAACCACTGAGCTACAGGACTCCACTGTTAGCTCAGGGTATCAAGGGATATGGGGCAAGGGCAGGTAACTGGACTTGAGGTACAGATCACTCATGATCTTATAAAATGGTGGAACAGGCTCAAGGGGCTGAATAGCCTACTCCTGCTTCTATGTAGTAAACAGTGAGGAGGATGGTAGCAAACTGTAGGAGGACATAGACAGGCTGGTGAAATGGGAAGACACATGGCAGATGAAATTTAATGTAGAGAAATGTGAAGTGATGCGTTTTGGAAGCAGGAATGAGGAGAGCAATAAGATAAATGGTACAAATTTAAAGGTGGTACAAGAGCAGAGAGACCTGTGGGTTCACATAAAACCTTTGAAGGTGGCAGGATGACTTGACAAAACAGTTAAAAAAGCATGTGGGATACTTGGCTTCATAAATAGAAGGCATGGATATAAGAGCAAAGAAGTTATGTTGAACCTTTACAAATCACTGGTTAGGCCTCAGCTGGAGTATTGATCCAATTCTGGCCACCCCACTTTAGGAAAGATGTCAGGGCCTTGGAAAGGGTGCAAAGAAGATTTACAAGAATTATGCCAAAGATGAGGGACTATAGTTATATGGAGAGACTAGAGAGGCTGGGATTATTCCCCTTAGAACTGTCAGAGTAGGTTGAGGGGAGATTTAATAGAAGTGTTCAAAATTCTGAAGGGCTTTGATAGATAGGGAGAAACTGTTTTCTAGTGATAGAGAGAAACACCAGCATGACTGCGAGGCTCCAGGAATTCACCACCTCCGGCCTCTCGGGGACCACCCCACCACTCACAGACACAGAGAGACACACTCAGAGACACAGAGACACTCACAAACACACACAGATCATCTGAACAGCAGATCCTCGGGTTGAGCAAAACCCATTTCCCACTCGCGACTTACGTGCATGTGTGCCCAGAGCCACAGTAGTGCCATCAAGTAAACAGCCAGCAGCAGCGCATAGAGGCCCGGAGCCCCAAGCAAACTGTGTGTACAGATTTGTTGCAGGGGTTTATTTGTGGTGGAGAATTGTGTGTAGCAGAGGGGGTGAGTGTAGCAGAGGGGGGTGTGTGTAGCGGAGAGGGTGTGTGTAGCGGAGGGGGGGGGGGTGTAGCGGATTCCGTGGAAAACTTGCAGCTGCACTTCTCTATTGGCCCAGGCTATGGGGTAAGAGCGGGGGAGTGGGTCTAGTTGGTAGCTCTTTCAAAGTGCTGGCACAGGCATGAAGGGCTGAATGGCCTCCTTCTGTGTTGTAGAATTCTATGTGGAAATAGATGGCAATAGAATTTTCTATCCTAGAATTTTTAAGGTACTATTTTGAAGTCTAATCTTTTTCATATGTAGTTGTGAAAATAACAGCAGAAGCTGGAACATCAGCCACCAATGTGATGAAAACATTACACAGGTATTAGTAGAACAGGCCTATTTCTCACACATATGGGTTGTTAAAGAAAGCATTCTATCTCTAAATCTGTAATACAATACAGCAATAAGATTGTAACAACTGTATAAATTGCAACTTTTTCAGAAACATTACAATTTTAGCTACTGGTATTATAGATATGGCACACTCACATCAGTATGAAATGAGTTTCTGGAATTGCATAAAAAATCAACAAGAAACCTTGATTGGTCGCATTTATAGAGACAGGGTTAAAACATTAAGTTGTACTGAAGATATTACTGCTATAAAAAGCAAGCATTGTTCAAACCCAGCATCTATACAAATCAGATACTGATTGGTGGAAGGACACAGAATCGTACATGGTCAACCCCATACATTGATAGAAAACGCCATCATTTTTAAAAGTGGTTTGAAGAAACCAAGGAAGGAAACACACCATCCCAATACAAGCAGTAAAGTTAAATGAAATACTGATGCTCACTGGGAGAATTTTTCCAGGTTTCTGAACTTGACTGGTCACCTCTTCCTGAATCAGTTGGAAGTGTGGCTTTAGGTAATTCCTCTTGTAAAGAGTAATAAGGCATTATGGACTCCATCACTTCTGAGGGTTTTCTCAAAGAGTCAAGGTCACTTTCCTTGAAGGTACTCGTCTTTCTAACTCCAGATGGAAGATTCAGCCCAGCCTGAAACGTATCTTGCAGTTCAAGGCCTTTCTTATCCACATCCATTGCCATTTCTTCCTCATCATACTCAGAATTGTTATCACTTGTGTTGGGTGATATTTTCTTTTCCTGATGAGACAGGTCTGTTGGATTCAGATTACGTTGGATCCTGCTATCTAATGGCTCAACACTGGTCACTCTCTTCTTTGGGATGTCATTTTCCTCTGTAACTGGAGTATGTCCTGCAAACAAAGTGAGATTTTCTTCATTATTGCTGATTTCACTGGAAGAATTTTGCCTGATTGGCAATTTTGCATCCCGACAAGAGACATCAACTGGCTCCCGAATTCTCTGGATGCTGTTGTCTAATAACTCAGCATCGTACACTTTCTTCTCTGGGATGGGGTCTTCCTCTTCAACTGGGGAACTTGCTGCAAGCAAAGTGAATGGTTCAGTATTTTGGATTTCACTTGTAGAATTTAACTCACTTTGCTTTATTGTAAAGTATCTATCATCCGATAAAAATTCTGAATCAGTTTTTCTGGGAGGTGACTCTTTACTGAGCACGAAAGCCGGGTTCTCTGGCCGTGAATTGTACATTTCTGGTTTCTCACCAGATTGTGCTTCACTTTCATCAGTTTCCTCTTGAAGCGATTTCTCTAATCCAATATTCAAAGAGTTCAGTCCCTTCAACTTTGTTTGGTTAATTGTTTTTCCTGGGGCTCCTTCCACTACCTCTGCAATACAATCCTGGATATCATCACTTGAAGGCTTAATTACTTTCTTTTTGCTTTTTTGTACCCCTTCAAGTTCTGTAGGGAGAACTTTAGGAAAAGATTTGGGGTTTAACCATTTCTTCTCCTCAGTTGGAGACTGTGCTTGTTCAAATATCTCTTGCATTCTTTCCTGGATAGTTGGTCCACAATTTAGCTGAGCTTTTGAACCTTCAATTTCCCAGAGTTTTCCAGGCATCTCCAAGGTAGATGATAAAGTTGGAATTGGTTTCTTTGTAGCCAAATGTTCTGTTTGGGGTGGCCTGTGGGACTCTGATTTTGCTGCTGGCTTTGTGACAATTAGATACGGATCACTTGTTGCATGTGGGGACTCAGTTTGATCCTCGTCATGTCTTTCTGTTTCCCAAAATTTTTAAGGCTTGTAAACTGTTCACGGCTGAAAGGGGGACCATCATATACTTCACATTTTCTTTTCTTCATTGAAAGAATTGTGAAAGGCTTTTCATTTTTAGCATCATTTTCATTCTTCACTTTCTTGTTGGATGTTTCATCCAACTCTGGAACATTACAATCATATTTTCTCTGTGAAATATTGGTTTCAGGCACATTTTTCTCTGCATTGGATTGATTTGTTTCACATTCATCGAGAGCTCTGGTTATTGATAATGCCATTTCACGGTTGTGCAATGGGCTAACATCTAATTTCAATCCTTGCTCTTCTTTTCCCCAGACTGTCTCTGTATTTTGTTGGATAGCTTCATCATCAAATGGATCTTTTTTGGTTTCCTTCAGGTCCAAATCTGGTATCTGCATTATTCTCATGTTCATATTTGGAGAAGGGAGATCAGTCACTTTTGGGTTAATTTCTTTATCCACCGCAGATAATTTATTCTCTTGGTTTGGAATCTTTTTTTCTGGAGAAAGTTGCTGAAGCATGATGTCTCTATCCTTCATAACACCTTTGATACCAATGTCTGGTAAAGGCTTAGTGGTCTCATATATTGGCTCATAAATGCCAATATTTGGTTCACTACTTTCCCTCTTCGGGATAGTGTTTTTGTCTTTAATCTCCAGTATCCCTTGTTCCTCAAGCTTTCTCACATCCAATCCCAGTTGAGGGTCCAGAGTTTTTGATGGATTCACATCCATATTTCTCTGAGTATCTATATAGGGTTCTCTGGAAGAGCTGGGTTTGGAATTCTGTTCTTTATTTTTTGCGAAAATACTATTTCCTTCATTATCCTCCTGTAACACTTCATTGTCTGACACATTGCCTTTACCTTTCATAGTGCTTTCTTTCAAGTGCGGCAATTTGTCAATCATCATTTTAGTAAACTTATCATCTTGGATTTCTTCAATAGCTTCTGGACTCTCTTTAGTGTCAAAGCCTTCAGTATTCTTTAAATAAGAATTATCCAACAATGCAGGAAGACCTACTGTGGAATCCTCTACAGCTTTTACACTGGCAGCAGCAAGTAAATTGTCACCATGTGGGGAAATTGATTGAGTATCTTCTGACTGCTGTCCAATTATAACAGCATTTAGCTCAGTTATCTCTTTTCCGCCATAGGATGCTGACGTTGGTAGATCTGGTTGTTCTTGTTTCTTATCTTGCTCAAATTCAATATGCTGTTGTTCAGTGTCAACATGTTTTGCAGCATTCTTGGACACTGGACTAGCATTTTCCAAATCCTCGTTTTGCTTTCTTTCCTCTAACAATGGTTCACCTACAATGCCAGGTATATCAAGGCTTTTGATCGGAGCTTGAAATTTCTGTGCATTGATTTTTTGGTTGTATTGATCTTGGATTTCTGTGCTGGCAGATGGCAACACTTGGTGTTTTGGCGCAAACGCATTAGTTTCACTGGTTTGACTTTCAGCATCTGGCTCAGCATGCAATGTCGTCACAGCTTTGGGGTGGATCTCTAGAAATGGGTCCAGTGTTGTCTTCGTTTCTTCCAACCCCATATCAAAAGAAGGCACTTCTTCACTTCTGGTGAACCAATCTAGGACCTTTGATATTGATTGATCAGTTGCATTTATCTGGTCAGCAGCATATTTATCATCCATTTGGGACTGTGTTGAATGCCCTTTATGCCTTTGTTCTTTTGGCGTAGTGATGAGGATAGTTTCCCCAAAACTAACACGCTTACCTTGAAATACTTCTGTAGGCTGTAGATCAGACACCTGAGGGGATTCAATCTCATAATGAAGTATCTGCTTACCTGGAATAAAATAAATGGGAGTAAAGTTAGCATCAACATTATTCTGTGAAAGACCAGCAGATGAGTTTTAAGTGGTGGGGTTCTCATGATTTATTTGCATTGACCACAAAATATTGGCTCAACATTTTTTAAAAAAGCTATGTCCAGTGTAGAATAGTTTTGACATTACATAACCACAACTAGCATTGTATTTTGTTAAAATAGATTACAAGATCAACCCTTCCCAAAAAGGAAGTTTAAATAGAAACTGAATACCAATCAATTAGAAACTTTCAACACAATTGATTAAAATTCTAACTTGATCAGCCAGTCAAATACAAAGAGAGTTTTTAGGATTGTTAACAAAATAATATACTTAGAGTGGAATGATAAGTTTCACAAATGTTTATAAATCCCTATGTGTTCAAATATGTAGTAATCAATACTTGCATTTATTTTTATATATAATATATAAAGGCGAGGTTTAATGAACAGGTTTAGGGTTAAGAGTAATAGAATGCCAATTTTACAAATCCAAAGTTACAAGACTGACAAACTAATCTATCACATTGTAATAATTTAGTCAATTCTCAAGCAATTTTAATTAAAGAGTAATTTATCAGTTCTACTAAATACTATTTATAAATCCTAATCCTACTAAGGAGTAATTTATTGGTCCATTTCACCCATAGTAATTTTAGTCCAAATACACGTCCTACCAACTCTTTTGCGAATAATTCACAGTTGTGCTGATAAAGCAGCAAAACGTGACACAAAATAAAGACAGTCTCAATACATTTAGCATTATTATGAAGTGGTTAATGGAAAGCAATGAGAAAAAGAAATAAATGCAATTACTGAAGGAATTCAGTTGGATCAAAAATGTAAAAGCTTTCACGTATTGTAGCGTCTCTTTGGGCTTATGAAACACGATTGCCTCATTGAGGTTTTCTTCATAAATGTTACAGAAAATGAACTTATTAATAAGTTTCTATCAATTTACTTGCAATGGTGCAATTCACCTTATAAAAGGTTATTTAGAGTGGGTATAGAATTTGGTTTGCCCATTTGGCAACAATTACCATTTAGTACAAGGAGACACTTCCACAGTGATGGTTAGTAAATTAAAGAAAAGCTATTCTTTGTCTGAGGAGGGCAATGGGCCACATTTCAAATTGATATTTGGTGCACAACTGACAATTTAACAGCGCAGCAAAGATTGTGAAACACAATTTCATGAAGTTGGTTACCATGTTGAAGGTAATAAATTGGTCACTTCAATCCACGACTGTTTGTGGGACACTGCTGTACGCAATTGGCTGCTGGGTTTCGCCCACAAAATATACAGTCAATTCATTTTACAGTATATTCTGTAAAGCGCCTTGAGACGTCTCGACAACGTGATAAGGCGCTTTATCAATGCAAGGATTATTGTTATTATTTTTATTTACTTTATTGCCCAAATCGCAGCTTAAATTTCTGCAGAAAATACTGGAAATTCTGATTCTGCCGGTGTCACACCCACAAGCTTTTCTTTCAGATTCTTGTTGACCTGCTAGGCACTTCGAGCCTTTTAATTTTTATTTTATATTTCCAACATCCACACTTTCTTATTAATCATAACCCACATATCGTCTTCCTTCAGGTTTCACACAATCTGTATTGTAGATGTTGCCATAATTGAATCATAGAATCATAGAATCATAGAATCATACAGCACAAAAAGAGGCCATTCGGCCCATCGAGTTTGTGCCGGCTCTTTGAATAGAGCAATTAATGTCCGTCCCACTCCCCAGCCTTTTCCCCATAATGCTGCAAACCCGTCCTCCTCAAATACCCGTCCACTGCGTTTTTAAAAGTAGTTATCGAATCGGCCTCCACCACCCTTTCAGGCAATGCGTTCCAGATTCGAACAACTCGCTGCATGAAAACATTTCTTCTCACCTCCCCTCTGCTTCTTTTGGAGACTATTTTGAATCTGTGACTTCGAGTCACCAACACACCCACCAATGGAAACAGTTTTTCCCTTTCTAACCTATCAAATCCCTCATGAATTTGAAGACCTCTATTAGGTCTCCTCGTAACCTTCTCTGCTCCAATGATAATAATCCCAGCCTCTCTCACCTTTCCTCATAATCAAGGTCCCTCATTCCTGGTACCATCCTCGTAAATCTCCTTTGCACCCTTTCCAATGCCTTAACATCCTTCCTATAGTGTGGTGCCCAGAACTGGGTGCAGTATTCTAACTGAGGCCTAACCAGTGTTTTATATAGGTTAATCATAACCTCCTGACTCTTATACTCTATGCCCCTATTTATAAAGCCTAGTAGTCCTGTAGCTCAGTGGTTAGAGCACTCGCCTTGCAAGCGAGAGACCTGGGTTCAATTCCCGGCAGGGCAAAACCTTGGGCAAGTTTCCTTACTCCACACGCCTGATAATAATCCCTCAAGCATAAAAAAAAATGGTCACTTCAATCCACGACTGTTTGTGGGACACTGCTGTGCGCAATTGGCTGCCGCGTTTCGCCCACAAATATAGCCAATTCACTTTACAGCATATTCTGTGAAGCACTTTGAGATCTCCAGAAGATGTAAAAAGCGCTATGCAAGGATTATTTATTATTATAATTGAACTGTACAAACCAGGAAAATCCCAAGTTTGACTCCCAGTTAACTGATCTGCTGGCAGTAATGATGTTCCAATTGGCCTCAGTGCCCCATATTAAGGAGGGGAAACAAGCAACTCTCACTGGAGGTGAATATGTGGATGTCAATTTAAGACAAGTTAACTCTTGTCTGAATAATGGTCAATTGGGCGAGATATAGGAGGGCATGCAATGGCAAATCCCCATTGAAGAAGTTGAAGGCTATCAGGTAAAGAGGGGAGGGGAGGAAATAGGCAAGAGGATTTCCCCCCACCCCCCACAAAAAAAATCAAGAACAGAAATGTCAAATGCTTTTTAAATTAAGTACAATTGCGCTCAACAACATTGTAATAGCATGAATTTGCTAAAAGATTATGAACAAGATCAATAAGATTAAAGTAGTTAATTGCACTTTTACTTTCTATAGTAATGTGTAATCATACCACCAAGATAAGAGAATGATTGAAAAAAATGTTGATTGGTAAGATTTTGTGGGTTGAATGTTGAATGTTTATATCCATCTTACCAAAAGTGGAAGGCGAATCAAAGGCCGGATCAGTTCTTTTGCTGGCATCTTTCTCGCTCAGTATCTCACCTGTGTCCAAATCACACACTTGGTTTGTTAACCTACTGGAATCGTACCCTGGTAAACTATACAATGCGCCAATTTCTTTCCATTCTGATTGATTTGAATCTAGTGTTACTGGAATGAACTGCAAGTCTGAGGTGGACACAATACCATCTTTATCTTGGTTTGGGTATATTTGTAAGGGAGAAGACAAATCTGCATGTGAAAGTATCCTGGGCTTATCAAGTCTGTCATTTTCCTCAATATATTTAATTGCATTGTCCATGCTAGCTTCATATTCTTCATCTTTTTCTTCTTCTACTTCTTCCCCTACATCATCAGCTTCTAGAAGATCTTTGTCGAGAAGAGCATCTTCCCCCATTCCATACATTTCCTTCAAATCAAAGGGCTCCAGTGTCTCAGAAATCCTCCTTTCATCCACATTTGTTGAGAACCTGACTTGCTTTGACTTTTCAAGCGTGTAGAGTTCAAGTGATTCTTCTTCCTTCAATGATTGATTCAGATCTGCTGATACCACTGGACTGGTTTTGGGAGAAGCTTGGATCTTGCCTTTAGAATCCTGAACACTGACAGGTGGACTTTCAGAATCATTGAAGCTTGAACTCTGGCTTCCCTTCAGGATACTTTTACGGATTGTAGGACTGTTGTTAACATCAGTCTCATTCTTGGGAGAGGGAGTAGTGTTATTGTGGTTACTATGAGGAATGACCTCACAATTATAATAAACTGTTCTTGGTTTGGGAACTGGTTGCATTTCTGATTCACTAGAAGCCTTTGCAGGTAATTGTGACTTACTTTCAAGAAATTCATTTGAGGGTAAATGTAACCTGGAAACATCCTTTTGTTGAGATAACCACTCTGGAAAAAAACAAGGGTATACAAGAGCAAGGATAAAACACATGTTCAGTCAAGGGGCAACATTATATAAAAAAATGTTCATATTGTAAACATCATTCAACAGAATAAAGGGATATTTTCTAAGACAGTTTTAAAGTTTCATAAAGGCATAATTTTACTTTCTACAACCTGAATTTTTTTTTAAAAAAATAAGTGATTAGTCATGCTAAATTGAACATCAATGGAAGTGAACATAATCCAATATAGAAGATGGAGTTAATTTAACAGTACACTCAATATGTAAACTAATAAGTCAGACTAGTTGGTAACTTGCAAACCAACAGTTGAACACAATCTCAAAGTCCTTTGCTGTTAACCAGATTTCATTTGTCATTGAGAATGTTGCTCAGGCATATTCAATGTGAGAATTATCAAACATACCACTAGAATGACAATGTTAAATAAAATATTTAGCAGCTATATTGACACAACCTCTACATTCTGTTTGACAAAATAAATCAATAACAGAAGAAAACAACCCTTGTCATGATCCATGCAGAATTAATTGCTATAAACATCCCCATCATTGCGACTACCAGCACGATAGAAGTTGAATTAGGTAGAGCTTGGTCTTTTTTCGTCTCACAATTCTTATGTAACTGAATGTGGACAAGACTCAAACCATACTCCTCGGTTCCCATCAACGTCTTCACTCCTGTGTATCTGAACTCCTCAACCTCCCTGGGCTTTCCCTCAGACTCACCGAACCAGTGTGCATCTAGGCATCCAGTTCTATCCCCAGGTGTCTTTCTTCTCCCACATCCAGTCCCTGACCAGGACCACCTTCTTCCACCTCCACCACATTGCCCGCCTCCGACCATACCTTACCCCAAATGCAGCCGAAACCCTCGTGCATGCATTTGTCACTTCCCGCTTGGATTACTCAAACGCACTCCTCGCCAGTCTCCCCAGCTCCACTATTCAAGAAATCCAGATCATTCAGAATTCTGCCATTCACATACTGACCCAGACCAAACCCCGTACTCCAATCTCACCAGTCCTGGCCAGGCACCATTGGCTCCCCATCACTGAAAGGATTGACTTCAAGATCCTCACACTCATGTTCAAATACATTCACTCACTGGCACCTCCCTACCTCTCCGATCTCCTCACTCTCCAATTCACCACCCAACGCCTCCGCTTGACTGGCACCAGCCTCCTACTTGTCCCTCGCACCCTCCACCCCACCATTGGAGGTCACGTTTTCAGCCACTATGCCCTAAAACTCTGGAACACTCTTCCTCAATCTCTCCGCCTTGCCCTCTCTCTCCCCTTTTCGACTGTGCTTACAGCCACCTCCCCCCACTCGGCTTGGAGTCAGGCTCCACCACTGTTGATCACTCTGAGACACTACCCTGCATGGAGTGCACTATATAAGTCAAGTTGTTTTATTTTGATACAACACCACAGAAAATGAAGCAAAATGTAAAATTAATGACACTTGATAACCCATTTGGTAGAACTTCAAACAAGTTATGAAACCGCTAATTTATCCTATATAATTTTATGTAAAGTGGTCAATTTGTAAGTGTTCCATGTTACCAATGATAATGATGGCCAGAATTTGTGATAGATTGGTGATGGTTAACACCTCACCACTAGGGGACAGCACACTCCTCTCCACCTGCTGTGATGTTAAAAAGTTTCTCTACCTGCTGAGATGTTAAAGATTTAGGTGGTGGCCATTTCCTTTTTGAAGCGATGATTCTTTTATTGCAAAAAGAGTAACCCCTGGAACAACTCGTGTCTCTTGAATATTTATTTTCCAGCCATGACCGAGTGAAGAAAAGGCTTTCCTGGGCTAGCAAATAAGCTTTCTCCTGATGATGACAAGGGTTGCCACAAAAAAGTGATTTCTGAATTTCAGTCACTGCGCACAGCAATGTTCCACAAACAGTCGTGGATTGAAGTGACCGATGTATTATTGTTTTTTTTTCTTGAAGGATTATTATTATTATTAGGCGTGTGGAGTAAGGAAACTTGCCCAAAGCTTCGCACTGCCAGGAATCAAACCCAGATCTCTCGCTTGAGAGGCGAGTGCTCTGACCACTGAGCTACAAGACTTGCAGTCACGGCTTAGATGTTCAGCAGCTCCTCACCATATCGGGTCTGAACAGTCACATTGGATCTCTCTCCTATTCCTACTTAGTTATGAAGTTCTTCTGCGCATGCATCGATGGATCAAAACTACATTCCCACGATTCAGTGCAGATGGCCAGTAAGAAGTGCGCATGCGAGAATGGGTCAGCACATTCCTTCCGCGCAATTGAATGCAGCCAGGAAGCACGGGAGTAATGGAGGGTAGGGGAGTGGGGTTACGAATTAGGAGGTGAGTAATGTGAGTAGTGCAAAGAAATCTAAGTGGTTTTGATAGGAAACTGAATGGGACTCGTGTGAAAGTACGACTTGGGACAGGGTGGTCCAACATAGGCCTGCAGACCACATTCCCCCCCCCGCTCCATTTAATCTGGATCGCCTGCTCCCTCCATAACTTGTAAACATTTATATTATGTTTCTGGAAGGAAAACACAAATATTACTTATGCGGCCCACAGACATTTCTCAAAAAGGGCATCCGGCCCTCAGCAGCTAAAAAGTTGGACCACCCTGAAGGCGATTGTACGATTTATGAAGATAAGACTTATGTGAGTTTTACTGTGTCTGATAGTACATGCATACATTTTAATTTGTCTATCTCCTTCCTGATAAAATGTAACCAGGATCCAGGTCAGCACTAAATATTAATCAGGAGGAAGCTTCATGCGGAGAAACTTCTAAGCCTGGAACGAACTATTAAGCATTTCCCAACCAGCAAAAGGGAACGGAAAAGCAAAACAGGATTTTCTGACAGGAGCTGTATGTATTCTTCACAGTACATTCTGTCACTCAAGTGAGTGTTTTGTCTTAAACGTAACCTTCCTACACTTGGTTTTCTTCCAAGAACCTGAGCAGTACACACCCACTTCAATAAAAATGTCAAGAATGCCAAACATTAGATTCTCAGCCAATCTTCACACACACGACCCATGATCTGTATGTGAAAGAGTTCACATTTCCTGACAGGGATCACAAAACCACAATAGTCTGGAGTTCCATGAAGAAAAGAATAAAATAGAAAACAAAAATTGTCTTGTGGTACTGAAAAAAAGGATTAGAAGATATTGTTTACAAAAGTAAATAAATGATGCGTCAATGGCAGGGATTAGTTTAAATAAGGTTGGGAGGGTGAAGGAGGCTGGCGCGAAACAATTAAGAATAAACCAATAGTTTAAAAAATTATTTTTCAAAAGTAAATATTCAATAATCGCTTTAAATGTGGTCATGAACGCAGTCAATTCTATAAAATATCTTCTATGCATTTTAAAATAAACATAACCTCCCTTTTTTTTCTTTTGGTGATAATTAGGGCTGCAGATTTGGCATTCCATTTTTTGGGAAGTATGATGAGGAAACGTTGAAAGAAGTCACGGGTATGGAAATTCAACTATACCTCTTCATACCTCCCAATGTTTCCAAAATTGAATCAGGGACGGGGAAAAACCCTTACCTGTGAACGTGGGAGGTGATTGGTCTGTGTGTGCACATCCACAAGAACAGTTTGAATTTCCCGCATTAACTTTGAGAGAGACTGGCACATGTGTGCACAGATCTCAGACGCATCCCCGCTCCAAATGAATTGTACACGCATACTCTGCGCTCTCCTAAGGTTGTAATGCTTAAAATGTAGTGCCTTACGTTGTTGAGACACCGTCATAGGGGAAAGTAGTTTCTCTTCGACCGTGCCTTCAGCTCCCCTCTCGACTCTCTACCCTCTCCTCGCTCCCTCCCTTCCCTACCCCTGACCATTTCCCCCCCTGCTCGGGTCCCGACCCAACTGTCCAGCGCCTTGGGACATCCTCCCGATGTGAAAGGCGCTCTGTAAATGAAATCTTGTTGCTGTTGTTGTTGTAGTGTGACTGTATTTGATGGGCGAAAATACAACACTTGAGATTAAGTAGCCCATAATTCTTCACTTTATCCCTCTCCCCTTTTTGGAACAGGTGTGTTACATTAGGCTCTGGTTCTCTGATACAATATTTGTTTCCAAAGATGTTTGGAAACCTATGGCCAGAACTTTCAATATTTCTTCCCCGAGTCCCTCATTGTTCCATACCTGGTCTAACACAATATAATTTATATAGTCCCTTTCATATCAGGAGAACGCCTCAGAGTGCTCAATGATGTTGACTGGGTAACCAAACTGGGGGTGAGAGCCGAAGAGGGTGGGATGGGGAAAGATGACCAAAAGCATGATCAGAGTTGTATTTTGAAACAGGTATTCCATCCCTTGAACAAAGGATATTGAATTTATACAAAACATTGGTTAGACTACATTTGGAGTATTGTGCCCAATTCTGGTCTCGACATTATAAAAGGATATAGCAGTGATAGAAAGAGTACAGCGAAGGTTTATGAGGATGATACCAGGGCTGGCAGATTACTGCTATCAGGATAGACTGGACAGGTTGGGCCTTTTTTCATTAGAGAAGAGATGTTTATGGGGAAACCTAATAGAAGTGTTTAAAATTGTAAAAGGCTTTGATAAGGTTAACATCAAAAAATATTTCCACTGTTTGGGGAGTCCATAATCAGGGGACAAAAATATAAAATAGTCACTAGGGGATCCAAAAGAGAATTTAGGAAGAACTAGCGAGTCAGAGGAACTCCAGAGATCAGAATGGCTGAAAGCCAGACGATATTGGTGGGTGGATACTGGAAGGGATATGAAGTAGGTCAGTGTTCTCTGAGAGAAGGGAGTGGCTGGAATATGGTTATCGGTTTGGTCATTTTTCGACTATGACTTCCCTTAATGCCATTGCTAAAGTTACAAATACTACAATAACAAGCAGTGTTTTATTTTACTAAAACAATAACTTACCTTTATATAGTGTCTTTCACGTAGGATAAGATTTCAGAGCACTTTGGAGTGCAGGACTGGTCACTGAGCAAGGGAGAAGCGGGAGGGGAATGTGACCATATGCGTGGTTGAAGAGGTAGGATTTAAGATCGCATTTAAAATGGGATTTAAAGGCATTAATATTTAAATACCCTTTCCCTTTGAATAATTATCTCCAAAAACATTCTCCTCTTCTCAGTTTGAGAAAAAAACCTCAATTGCAAGCTTGCCCCTTCACTGCCAAGTGGTCCCATTCCTTCTTTCATTGCCTCATTACTTTTAATATACTCATAAAAGCCTTTCCCCTTTAATTATCCTTTATGTTAGCCATCAGTTCTTCCATTATAATAATAATCCTTGCATTATTTAGCACCTTATCACATCATTGAGCTATCTCAAAATGTTTTCCAGGATATACTGTAAAGTGCTATTGACTGTGTATTTTGTGAATGAAACATTTAAACATTTCGCTCTTCAAAAATGATCCCTCTTAACATTCTTTATCTCCCGTTATGCTTCCATTCTCTACTGCCCTCTTGCGTATTATCAGACATTCATCATAAGCCTATTTGAGATCACATCTCAAAGGATTCATTCATGAACAGTTTTGATGCACCTCTTTGCTCCTTTTATGTCCCTTACACTCCACGACAATTCGTGCAGTTCTGTAGATGGACAGCAAAACTCTTTGCAAAAGGACAACTTGCCAGCTATTTTACATCCGCCTCACCCAGAGGACTGGACAAGTACAAACATGTGGCAAACATGCTCAAGGCAATCTGCAGCCTTGAAACTGCAAATCACTGGTTGGAACTGAAACAAACAGGCATTGAGCCACAAACTAATTGTCCCATAAACGTTTTCTGTTTGTGGAAAACATGAGTTCCACACAAACACGGGCTCACTTAAAGGGCATACTTCCTGTATTTGCAAGAAGACTGCTACTTTATCTGCTGTGAAAATGTTATATTGAATTAACTATGATGTTTAACAAAGGCAAGTTCACTCTAATCACATTGGTCTCTGTTAAGTAGTTTTTAATCTGCTCATCTTGGCTCCTGCTTAAGTGTTCAAAAGCAGCACCCCTGCGGAGGTTAACATGTGACTCAATAGATTTCCTGAAAGGTGCTGGAAAATGATCATTAATCAACTAGCCATGTTGAGCCTTTGCTAAAAATTTCATAGCACAAATTTGCTTGTCCAAGGCCCCGTTTATTTACACAAAGGTAAACAGTTTAGCCCAAGATAGCTCACAATGTGCAGATAATTTACCAGAGCAAGGATAATCAATTAATCTTTTGGTTCATTTATACTGCTGTACTGGGAGCAAAATTGTTCCGCCCCAGCAACAATACAGCGAGTGGAGCAATTACATCTCTTGATTCACATCACAACTCGATTCACATTGTTGAAAAAAATGTTTTTTAAAAATCCAAATCACAAGGCTATCTTAGTAAATAGTAAAAAGCCTGTTGAGCATTCTCATGTTATTAACAGACGGCTCAAGAACTTTCATGTATTACAGGTGAGTGAGCTCAGTGCAATTTGCTACCACTGTCCACTGAGTTTTCACTGCAGCATTTGATACCACCTCCTCCAGGTAGTTTCCATCAGCAGGACGTCTATGTGATTCATGGTGCTGGGACATCATATCAGAACTGCATAGGATTTATGGGTGGATTAAAGCATTTCAAGACTCCATTAAACATAACATGTCATGCAAAAATCACTGCATTTTGCTAAAGATAACCTAATCCACACATTAATACTTGGAAGGTATCAAAAGCCTAAAATTTCGGTGGGGGAGGTGGGAGAGGATTTTTCTCCATGATGCAAGATAGTCATTAATAAGGGCACCTTCTTCACAAATCATTTAAAACTTGTTCATGACCATACAACACAGAGACATTAATCTCACCGAAACTTAGCAGTGCACCATTCACTCACGATACAATACTCTACAAATTAAAGTTTTGCCATGAAGTGCCCTTCAAAAAGGCTTAATGCAGATCAGTTTGTTTGGTCTATATAGGATACAGTCCTAGATATTCAGTCAAGTAAAACAAACTTTGAATCTCAACAATGTCCAGTAAAAAAAAACTTAGCTTCACATACGCTTTCACATACTGAAAAGATGAAATCAAGTGCAAAAAGGGGTATGAAAATAACTCTGGAAATACAGTGGAGCCCTCACCCACTTATAACTTGTTGCTTGGGATACATAAAATCCAAAACCATGCTATAGTGAGGTGAGGTAACCAATCTCACTGCAAATGTTCATATTTGGCCAGTTTGCGTGTCAGCCTGTACCCACACTAAAAAAGGAACAACTCTGAGGTGAAATCTCTTCCTATCTTCTCCATGAGGCAAAGCAAGAAGTGACGTCGGTGGCAATCAAATGACCTGGAAGTCATATTTTAATACAAGGGCTGGCCTGGTGCAAGAGACAAGCCAGCCAGCTGTGCAACTGCACAATCAATGAGGTCTGAAGTATAACCATGTTATAATCGAATCTGTACTACAAACCACATTGTAAAGGGGTTGCACTATACAGAAATGTAGTTGAAGACATTTGCTGAATAATATTGTAAAATACACTTTACACAAGGAAATAGTTGCTCTGAAGAACTGAGCATATTGTATCATTGGAACCAGCTGAATATTTTGACCGCTTTAGAGACTATTCAATGAATCAGTGTTGACTAGGTAATCGGGCTCCTGGGAGCATTCAGTAGCCAAGGTCTCAAGAAAGAACTTCCTTTTGAAAATAGCACAACAAAGCAATTAGATTAGGCTTGATATTAAAAAGAACAATAGTCATTAATTCAGGAAAATGCTACACATGTATTATTTATCAGCCGCATATATTAGAAAGAAAGTGAGTAGCAATCTAAGGTTTCCAATATTAAAAGGCAACAAATCATATTCATGATAGGGACAAATACTTCAGGCGAGCAAGTACCTTCCATACAAATGTATGGGTAGGTTTTCTCAAAATAAAATGCCAAAGCATTGATGAAGTAGCAGCAGAGCCTGCCTCGAGTTCAGCGTTCAATTTTTGGGATGAGCTCAAATGCACATGAAAAATATTGCAAACTCCCTCATCAATTGTTGCCTTTCCAATCCCTAAAACTCCAACTAGACTTGAATATTCTTTTACCAGTAATGGATACAGAACTACTCTTTGGAAACCTCTCTGGACAACATTTAAAGCAAGGCTTTGAGCAATTCAGTTCCTACCTATCTGATGGACTATAGATGTAAGCCAAAACTGGCTCTGCTTCCAATAGTCCTTTGATAGCTCTTGGGTAGACAGACCACTGAATGATTCAAAAACTCTTATGGGACCATTATGTTATTAAAGCACCATCTTAAGAACCAGTTTATTTCAAGAGAATATAATACTCTTGAAACTATTAATTGCAAAACTATTTCATTTCACAGTTTACAGTACACAATGGAATTTTTTTAAAAAATACACTCATTGTAGAGCACATAGGCTCACTGATGCTTTCCCCTCCTCTGGACGATATGTCAAAAGGGTACATTCCAGGCATGAATGAAAGAAAACGTTCAATCATCTGGAACTAAATATGCAGTTACAAAATAAACAAAGCCAGTTCTTTCCAGCATTGCAGGTATGATTTGAGAAATTGGTCTGAAGATTAGAGTGAAATTATTCACCATAATGAAAGGCGCACACAATGCTCTCACTCCAGTGGCTTGACGGCTTCATCGTGCTACTCAATTACCATTTATGGACATCGAGTAAACAAGACCAAATTGTACTTAAGGGCCAGATATCAATGGCTCTAAGTCAACCATCTGAATTTGTGATCTGTGGCCGTTTCACATGTCAATAAAAATAGCATTCCAGCACATCAACACCCCTCACTGGATGTAATTGGAAATCATATAGAGCACCACTGGGGTAAGTTGAATAATGGTAGATGGTGCCTCCCACCACCATGGTTTTGATCTTTAATCCATGTAACATTGGATAGAAGAGACATCAGTAATTACCCCTTGCAGGAGTCTCAGATCCTGGCAGTATGCTTGCCGATAACAATGGCTTCTGTCCTCCATTTGGATTATCATCCACCAGAAGTGAAGATTTGTTGAATGGATTCTCCCTCTGCTGAAAAATAATTGTTGCGACAATTTAATCTTGATGACTCAGTTAAATATTTTTTCATGCAAAACCAAAAAGCATAAAATGACACGCATAGCACACAAATAAATAATAATCCTTACATTTGATATAGCGCTTTTCACGTCTTCTCGACATCTCAAAGCGCTTCACAGAATAGACTGTAAAACGAATTGACTGTATATTTGTGGGCGAAATGCGGCAGCCAATTGCACACAGCAGTGTCCCACAAACAGTCGTGGATTGAAAATGACCAATTTATTATTGCTTTTTGTTTTGGACGGAGGTGTGTGGAGTAAGGAACCTTGCCCAAGGTTTCGCCCTGCCTGGAATTGTGCCCAAATGTCAGTATGGGCATAATCTCGTATTCCAATCATGTGGAAATGCAAATACAAAACAACCTTAGCTATTTTACATACTAAAATATGTATTTTATATTTACATATTACATATTAAAAGGCCAGGGAGAACGGAATGAGTCCAAGGGATTATTACAAGATAACATTCAGTCCGAGCCATCATTACGACACACAATACCTTTGGTGATGATGCCGAGGAATGTTTTTGTTTCTGTCGTGGCTGTTCAGGCACTGCTTTGTTCAAGTTGGACGCTTCACTAAAAGACAGAAAATTTGCATTTTTTTTCAAAAGAAACATGGGATACATTTAAATTAATGCATTTATACTGCTAGCCAATGTGACAGTCTCCTGGCCCATGGTAATTGATATTAATGATAATGATCTTTTAAAATTAAACTAGTACCCAGAATTGACGATCAAGTGGTTAACCACTGGCATTAAATAAAGATACTTGCACACAGAAAAACATCACACTCTAGTGTATTGTTCTATTGTTCACTCATTGCTTGTGCGCACCATAATGGACTAATAGGAAGGGTCCCAGTTCCTGAGACAACCCTATGAGGTTGGTCAAATCTATCCCACTTACTCATGTTCACTATTATTAATAAAGTCATTTTCATACAGTTAATCTGATAATTAATTTCCATTTCCAGTAATTGTAGTCAGACTAATGACTCTGTAGTTGTCATCATAGCTCTGTCACCTACTATTACTATGCAAATTCCCTGTTCGCTGGACTTCCCAACTCTTTCTCCGTAAGGTACGGATTATTCAGAACTCTGCAGCTCATATCTTCTCCCACACCAAGCTCCATATCTTCTCCATACCAAGCTCACTCCCATCCTCGCCGAGCTTCACTGGCTCCCCACCCTCCAGAGAATCGAGTTCAAGGTCCTCGCCTCACCTTTAAAGCCTTCCACGATCTTGCTCCTCTCTATCTCTGCAACCTACTAAAACTTTACCAAATAGTCCATTCCCTTCGCTCAGCGGACACTGTACCCTGTCTGACCCGCTCCACCATCGGTGGTCAGGCATTCAGCATTTCTGTCTCCTCCCACTGGAACTCCATCTTAGAGCCCATCTACCTCGCCTCCTTCAAGACCTTCCTCTTCGACCGTGCCTGAGGTCATCTTCCCACCTCCACAACACCCCAGCTTCACACCTCCACAGCTCAACTCCAGGCCCCAGCTCGGGGAGAAACCCTTCACTGCCCAGCACTTTTGGATGTCCTCCCAATGACAAAGGCAGTTTGTTGTTGGTGATTATGAAAATCATAATTTCTCATTTCCAGCCTGCTGGAACCTCCTCAGTGCCTCAAAATGCTTCACAAATATCTTTCATTACTCTCAGGTACAGCTCATCTGCTCTAAGCGATTCACAGCTTTTCAGCTCAATCAGCCCATCTAAAATATCTATTTCTCAAATTTCAAATTTTTATACCCTTCAACTCCCTCTCCCTTTACCCCTTTCAAGGTACGCCTGGAACATACCTCTTTGATCATGTTTTCGGTCATCTCTACTCTCCCCACCCCCTCAGCTCCCATCCCCAGTTCAACAACAAGAAGAAGATTACATTTGCATAGCACCTTTCACGTCGGGAGGACGTCTCAAGGCGCTGGACAGGATACAGCATTTCAGACCCAAGCTGGGGTCAGGGGGGGGAGGGGAGGGGAAGAAGGGTGACCAATGGCATGGTCGAAGAGGAAGATATTGAGGCGGGGCTTGAAGAGGCTAAGGAGGGGGCGAGGAGGAGTGACTGGGGGATGGAATTCCAGAGGTTGGGTCACAGGGTAGGGTGGAGCAAGGCTTTGTAGGTAGGGACCAAGTTCTTGAACTGGATCCTCAGAAGGCAGGGAGCCAATGCAGTGGGGCGAAAATGGGGGAGATGGGGTCATGGAGTTTGATGCGGGAGAGGACATGGGCTGCAGAGTTCTGGATTATCTGCATCCTGTGGAGGGAGGAGTTGGGAAGACCGACAAGCAGGGCTTTTCCATAGTCGAGCCTGGAGGTAATGAAGGCATGAACAAGAGTTTCAGCAGCCTGAGGGGTGAGGTAGTGGTGGAGTCGGGCAATGTTACGGAGGTGAGGGAAGGCAGAATGGGACATGGATTGGATGTAGGGAAGAAAAAGCAGTTGAGGGTCGAACAAGACACCCAGGTTCCTGACTGGTGAGTTGTAGTGTGCAACCATGGAGGTTGATGATGCCAGAGCCTGAGGTGCTGAGGCGCTGGCGTGAGCCAATCAGGAGGGCCTCAGTCTTGTTCACATTCAACTGTAGGAAATTTGCCCTCATCCAGGACTTGATGTCTGACAGTCAGTCTGTCAGGACAGCAGTGGTCCTGGAGTTGAGGGTGGAGGCAGAAAGATAGAGTTGGGTGTCATCCGCATACATATGGAAGTTGACCCCATGTCTGCAGATGATGTCACCAAGAGGGAGCATGTAGATATTAAAGAGGAGAGGGCCAAGGACAGAGCCCTGGGGGACGCCAGACGTTACAGTGCGGGGGCTGGAGGAGAAACCGTTAGAGGCAATAAAGTGGAGACGGTGAGAGAGATAGGAATCGAACCAGGCAAGGGCAGGTCCGCAAAGATTGAGTAAAGAGGAGAGGCAGTGTGTGAAGATGGAGTGGTCGACAATGTCGAAGGCAGCAGAGAGGAGGACAAGGAGGCAGAGGGAGCCCTGATCACAGATGTTCAGAATGTCATTAGTGACTTTGACCAGGGCTGTTTCCATGCTGTGGGCAGTGCAGAAGCCGAATTGGAGGGGTTCAAAGAGGGAATGGCGAGAGAGAAAGGAACGGAGCTGGGACTCAACTCCAGGACCACTGCTGTCCTGACAGACCACTCGTTCCAGGACCTTGGAGAGGAATGGGAGGTTAGAGATGGAGCTGTTGCTGTAGAGGAGGGAAGGTTTTTCAGGATGGGGGTGATGACGGCTGTTTTTAGGGGCGTGGGAACTGAACAGGTGGACAAGGAGAGGTTGATGATGTCAAGTAACCATTCAGCTCTTTGAAGCACTTTGAGATGTGTCTCAACGTAAAAGGTATTATCGCTTAGCACTACCTGCGTGGAGGACGCTACATGTGCAAGTTGTTGTTGTTGTTGATTAAATGTAAATTGTCTTGTACCTTGCTAGAGATTTCTCCATTTCTAGCTCCTCCTCACGCTCTTCTTTCAGGAGTACAGAAAGTGCAGGGGTTGCATAGATACTGTTTCCAACATTGTTCATAAAGCTCTTAGTTTTCTCCTTCAATTCTTTGGCCTGGATTCGTTCATCTGTGAAAAAANGAGTCAAAGTCAACACACGCAACTTGAAATCCAAGATTCCTTCAATGAATACCATTGTGGACTCAGTTAAGCACATCCCTGATCCACGGCTATAGTGGCAAGTAACTACCACTTATATAAGCACAGAATGTACCAAATCATTTCCCATTCATTTAGTTCACAATTTCTGATCAAATTATAAAATGTGCATCAATTATCTTTTCTGATGAAGATCACATACTTCCATCTCTCTCTCTCTCTCTCTGAGGAGATTACCTCCCTGCTCCGACTGATAGAATAAAGGTCACTATAAATCCCTTAATGCTCTAGCACTGCCCTCTCTCTCATCTTCTCCAACCCCACTGCTCTGCTTGCCCCCTCCACTCAGCTAACTTATGCCTGTTGCACATCTTCCACCTTTCCTGTGTGCCATCATCGGTGGCAAATTATTCAGCTACTACATTTATAACCTCTGGACACTCCCTCTACTTGTCTACCTCACACCTCCCTATCCATCTTTAAAACCTACCTCTTTAACTCTGTCTATGGTGGGCTCCTTTCCCCCAGGCCCCTCTCACTTGCTTGACATCCATCATTAAGCACTTTAAAACATTATTCCATGTGAAGGGTTCTATATAAATGAAACTTCTTGGTGAATTGGGGTAGGGGTTCTAAAGACCTTGGGACTAGGACAAATGTCACAAAATTGAAATTTCATTCAATTACTCGTGTTACACTTAATATATTTTGTGTTAAATGCTGTAATAACTACAGAACATCTTATTTTCCTAAATGGTCGTCAAAAAGTTTATTTCAAAACTAGGACTAACCAAACCTATAGCCTCACTCAGTGCTGTAACCTCTATATGGCTTTCATATAAATACAGCTCCCAAAGTGGTACACAGTGGAGTCCTGTAGCTCAGTGGGTAGAGCACTTGCTTTGCAAGTGAGAGACCTGAGTTCAATTCCAGCAGGGCGAAACCTTGGGCAAGTTTTCTTACTCCACACATCTAATAATAATCCCTCCAAAAACCAAAAACAATAATAAATTGGTCATTTTCAATCTACGACTGTTTGTGGGACATTGCTGTGGTCAATTGGCTGCCACATTCGCCCACAAATATCCAGTCAATTCACTTTACAGTGTGTTCTGTGAAGCGCTTTGGGACGTCCTCCCGACGTAAAAAGCGCTATATCAAATGCAAGGATTATTATTATTATTATTATTATATTATTAGCTGAGCCATAACCAAGATCTTCATTGCCACTTCCTTACTTTTGAATAGCTTTGTACGTAAAATAATGGAGATTTCAAAGTTGAAAAAGTGTTGGTGGATTACAACGGACCAGTGTTGGGTATGCCCACAATTCTGTGATAGCCAGAGACCTTAATTGGTGAGGATGCCAAGCAGTCAGGATAAACATTTTGTCATTTGATGCCAATTTATTTTGAACGCAATAAAAATCTCAGTTGATAGAATATTTAGCAATCAGAGAACTGTGCATTTAAAATCCAGTGTTAAACTGTAAGTTTAAAATGTAAGTTCAAATCCAGTGTTGCAGGATTCTTCTCATCTCTAAGTGCTGAAGGATTTTGATCCAGTATTTTGGAGCAGTATCAATATTCCTAAGATTAAAGTATGTGTGTGTGTATACATAAATACGTGTTTGGGGGGCAGTGGGGAGAGAGATTCTACAACACACTAATATAGAACGCAAGCAAATGGAGAAAGGAAATTGACTTGAATATGTTGTGTCAGTGGTAAGATGTGGGTTCAATCATCCATTCTGTTGAGTGTCAAATCTAATCCTGTATCCCAGTTCAGAATAGCAGGGGCCTATCAGTGAACATTCAGTCTCATACTTAACAGCATCAGGATGGGAAAATCATGGGAAAGGAGAAATATATTGTCTTTCTCTTTTTACAAAATAAATCATATGCCTTTTTAAACAAAAAAAAGTTGCTCCCTAGAAACAAAACCAAATGTACAAGGAATATCACTAATAACACGGTCACGTAAATACACATAATCAATCAGCAGATTCGTCAACTCCTCTTCTCTCAGCCAATAGCCAAAAAATTTACAGCAAACCACAGGAATGGAGTTCCAAAATGATAAGCATTCAAAGTTGTTCATCAGCATCATTTGAATATTGGAAACCACCAACAAAGATATGCGAAGAATTAAAAGAAACCTGATAGATACCTTCACTATTTAAGGTCAAAATATTTATCCTTTGAGTCATCTGACTGGAAAAGTAGTCAGCTTCCGTGTTAAGAAGGATTCTAGCTGTTAGGAGATATAAGACTCGATTGGAAGCAATGTCACACCACTGACTTGACGAGCCCAGCTTGACTTTAAAGCACAACAACAACAACATTTCTGTAGCATCTTTCATGTTGGGAGGATATCCCATGGTGATGGACAGTCAGAGATTTGGATCAGAGCAGGGGGTTGGGATCAGGAGGGGTGGAGAAGAGGGATAGTAGGGGTAGGAGGGTTACTGAAGGCAAGGTCGAAGAGGAGGTTCTTGAGAAGTGCCCTGAAGGAGGCAAGGGAGGAAGGGAGTGAGGTGAAGGGACAGCGGGATGGAGTTCCAAAGGTTGGAGGCAGAGAGGCTGAAGGCCCGGCTGCTGATGGTGGGGAGGGCCAGGTGGATGGAGTGGAGCAGGCTGGAGCCCGCTGAGCGGAGGGAGCGGACAGGAAGTAGTCCAGTATACTGCTGTGAAGTAGTTCACTATCCACTAACTTCTGCTTTAAAAATTGTGGAAATCGGGTGAGGACGGGATCACACTCTACAGTGGAATGGCTTGCTGATATTCATGTCCAGATTCACAAATGACAATGGCCACCGTGTGAACTCAAGGCCTCATGAGCTACTTTCCCCAGCAATAATAAATTGCTTTTTCCAATTTAAAAAAAATTTAAAAACAGAAAATGAAAGGAACCTACAAATAGTCATGGGTTTCTTCTTTCGCATTGATGCTCGAATCAATTCAGCTCCATGGATTGTGTCTGCGTGTCTCTTTGACTTGGCTTTGTAGAACCACTCCCCAGTCATATATTTCAGTTGATTTTCATCTTCAATTGATTGCTTCAGTCTCCTGTTGAGAAACAAATGTTGAATTGAAAGCTGACCACAAGTTTAAGGGTTTGCACTCCTTTATTTTCTCCTCTTGCTCTGCCTAATTTCCCTGGGTTATCAATTAACTAGTCAAGATAGTAAGCTCCCAGGTTTTTGAGCTGCTGCACCATAGCAGCTTGCTGTATCAGTCAAGTCTCACAATGTAGCGTCCCATATAGAAACCTGTATTCAAGGAGAAGATTTTGCCAAAAGCAAAGTAGCTCATGATAAACATCCCCCCACCCCACACACACTTAAACTTGTACTTCTTTGATGAAGTGAACTATTATAGAATACACTCCTCATGTTTATCTGTATTTATCTGTATTTCCAACTAAGCTGAAGACAAACTGAGGCATCCTGAGAATCTAACCTTCTGGCCAGTAACATTCCTCAAAAGATAAGTAAAAAGAAGTTCGGAATCCTGTTTTAAAGAGTCAGTTTGGCTCAAACATTAGCACTTTTGCCTCTGAGTCAAAAGTTGAGGGCTCAACCCCCACAAAGGGACTTAGAAGCTGCAGCTTATGCGTTGACACTCCAATCCAGTGCTTTGCGTGCACTGCATTTTGGGAGGTGATGTCCTTCAGATGAAACATTAAAACTGAGGTCCCATCCTTCTGTTTCAGATGGATGTTAAAGATAACAATAAATAACAATAATTCTTGCATTTGATAAAGTGCCTTATCATATCGTTGACAGGACTCAAAGAACTTCACTGAATATACCTTAAAGTGGAATAACTATGTATTTTGTGGGAGAAACGCAGCAGCCAGTTGAAAACAGCAATGTCCCACAAACCGCCTTGAAGTGAGTGACCAATTTTATTGGTGGAGTATTGGCCAGGAAACCAGGCGAAACTCCCTTTTATTTTCGAATAATGCCATGGGATCTTTAACATCCACTTCAACAAGGAGATGGGATCTTGGTTTTATGTCTCATCCTGCTTTGGAGTGTGAGTTTATGTGATTCCATGTCCTAACATGAACCAACAACCTTCTGACTCAGGTAGGCAGCCAGCCAGGCACTATTCAGAAAGAGAAGGGAGGTTCTTCTGGAAATCTGGTCAACAATTCCCCAAATAAAATTTGTCACTCACTTAATGGCTGTTTGTGAAACACTGCTGTGTGCAAATTGTCTGCCTACAAATATACAGCCATTACACTTTACAATGAATTCTGTGTTGCACTACACCAAATAAGGATTATTATTGGTTTTATTGTAACTTTGCTGAATGTTACGCATAAAGAAATTAGCCAAACTTATTGGTGATTGCTTAAATATAGTACATCCAAACCACATCAAATTCATAACCAAATGCGTCAGTTTGCAAATACTTTATTACACAAGATGTTCTGTATCCTGCAACTTAAAAGTAACCATTTACATTATAAATAAGTATTCATTTACAAAAGAAAATATGGTTGTCACTACTTTATAAGATAGTTCTTTGCCCTCACAGAAACTTTGAGTTCCGTTTTCAACAGGGAAACAAATATTAGGTTCAGATCCAAATGTTGGATACGCAACGAATAAAAGGTTCAAATTGCTTCCAGATAGTTTAATTCAGAATCCCATTTCAGCAATAATTAGAAGGTTTAGCACCTACAACAACAACAAAATTACATTTGTACAGCGCCTTTCACATCAGGAAGATATCCCAAGACGTTGGACAGACAGAGTTTTGGACCCGAGCTGGGGGTCGGGATTGGGGAGGGTGGAGGGCAGAGAGTTGCTGGCTGTATTATTGTTTAATTTTTACATTTAAAGTTTGCATTGTAACTAAAATATAGTGAAATTAAGTGATACAATTACACAATTTAAAATGTAGGATTTCTGTACAATTCTTACGATTTATGTTTTCCTGGAGCTGGGGAGACCGAGCGAGGAGTGCGTTGGAATAATCCAGGCGGGAGGTGACAAACGCATGCACAAGGGTTTCAGCTGCATTCGGGGTAAGATGCAGTCAGAGGCGGGCAATGTGGCAGAGGTGGAAGAAGGCGGTCCCGGTCAGGGACCAGATGTGGGGGAGGAAGGACAGCTAAGGGTTGAACCAGAAGTCCAGATTGCACACTGGTTTACTGAGTCTGATGGAGAGCCCAGGGAGGCTGAGGAGTTCAGATCTGCAGGAGTGAAGATGTTGACGGAGCCAAGGAGTATGGCTTCTATCTTGTCCACATTCAGCTGCAGGAAGTTTACACTCATCCAGGCTCTGATGTGTGCCAGACAAGCTGATAGATAATCTGTGGACCTGAGTCGATACTGGAGGAGGCAAAGTAGATTTGTGTGTCATAGTAGGACTCGAAACATGCGAATGTGGTCCCACTAAGGTGAATGAGGGAGGAGAGGCCGTGGAGGAGGATGACATGGTCAACTGTGTTGAATGCAGCAGAGAGATCCAGGAGGATGAGGAGGCAGAGGAGCTCTCATAGAGAGGATGTTGTTTGTGACCAGCGCTGTCTCTGTGCTGTGGGCAGGGCGAAAACCAGACTGCAGGGGCTCGAGGAACACATCTGAGTAATACATCTGAGAGATTCAACTATAATTTCACATCACTATGCAAATGCCTAATTCTATTCATCTCCATTATACAATTCTCAGAGAAACAAAACTTCAATCCAGGGGTCAATCATCCAACTACAGGTGCAAACTCTGTGCCCTCCCCACCCCACTCTTTAACACCACCGGTTGAAATGCACTGCAAATTTGTGCTGCAACACATTGACAGTCGACGGCAGCTCTTCCATACCTCAGGTAAGTGATCATTTTCATATGCAAGGCTTGATAAGCATTCTCAAGCGAGTTTACTATGGAAGGCATCACAGCAAATCTAGGTACTGTATTGTATTCACCCGATTTCTACATTTTCCAACAGGATCATTGGAACAAGCAAATGATCGAGAACCTCAGCTGATTTTCCCCTCAATCCTTAGAGATGTTCAGGAAAATTGCACCATTTCTACCATGACCAAAAAATGCTTTACTGTTTAAAATTTACAAAAAAAATCAATCCAAGATGGTAGATTCAGCATGGCCGGGTAGGACACCTGTTTAACTAACCATGAATAATTTCATCTTTTGTTACATAAAACCCATCACGTGATCTTTTTGAAGTCAAGTTACCATAGCATCATTTGTTGTTCGCTTCAAATACCCTAGCATCTGGCCCAGAAGTTCAGTCACCTTATATAATAGGATTTACCAGGCAGTATATTAGCTTAATTTTCAGAGCTCAAATCACAATTGATTTATTTCACAATTTATAAGCCTGACAATTTCTAAACATAAAAGTTTGTGATTAAATTCCAGTAATTATTTATGCTGGGTTTGTAAATACCAGTTGTTCTAGATTTAATTTAAATACTTAAATATGGTTTTAGCGCTGATAAATTGGCTTTTTTTGCTAACTGGCTATGACAATTGCAACATGACCCTTAAAATCTTGGCAAGCTCAGTAGCTTTCCTTCCACCCATGACTAGAAGCAGAAGAATTGTACGTGTATTTTAAGAAAAAGAGAAAAATACAAATCTGTCCTTCCTGTGGATTGCATTTTTGTGTGCTGCAATTACCAGCAGACAATCTTTTTGTGGGACAAATACCCAGAAGATTTTCTTAATTACCACAGAGAGTAATCAACGGCTGGAATAGGTTGTCAAGAAAGGTGGTAGAGATCAGGGCACTAGACTAATTTAAAAATGAGCTTGCTGCAGTGATGGGGGAACGGGTATTCCGGAGGGAAGAAATTAGATGGGCCAAAGGGCCTTTTTCATCCAGACCAATCTTGTGCTCCTGTGAAATTAATTTTGTTCACTTTCAGGAGAACAAATGCAAAATCTATTCCCCCCTGTGGCCGGCTACTTAAAAACTCTCACCAGCCAACCCTCCAGTCAATACAATGATTATGTGATACCACATTGAATAGGTAAAAATCTATGAGAGCACAGAGGTTTCAGTTTATGAAGGAAACACTACCTTGGTTCCCTCCCATTCTGTTTATAATAATCCTTGTATTTGATATAATCCTTGCAATATGATGGTGCTGAAACATCTCAGAGCACTTCATAGGATTTCTTGCAGAGTGTAGTGACTGTGCATTTTGTAGACAAGCAAACTGTGCTCAGCAATGTTCCACAAACAGCCATGAGAGATTTTAGTTGGGGATTATTGGCATGGCCACTGGGACAAACTCCCTTCTCTTTTGCAATAGTGCTATGAGATCTTTAATGTACCTATGAACGGGGAGATGGGATGCTGTTGCTGTCCACTGCTAAACAGTTTGAGATTGTGTAGACTAATTTTGTTCTCACAGCTGACCAATGAAAGTCGGCTATTGACGCATCTAAAATACTAATGTTGATCTAGCATTTATTGGACATACTTACAGTCTTTATAGCCAACAACTTTACTAGGTTGAGGATTTTAAGTGTTAAGCCAATCACATTAATTGGATTCATGTGAATAAGCAATCTTAGAAACATATGGTTTTACAGAAGGAAAACATTTTGAAAATGACGCACAAGCTTAATTATCTGCTCCTCCCATGAAGCATTTGCCAATGTTCTATAACAAGATGACATTTCTTAGTAATTACACAAGTTATATAACACATTTTAACATTTAGGTAACTTTATATTTCAAGAATATGCAGCTTTTATAAGTTAATGTTTTATAATTGTGGTTGACTACTTGTGTGGGGTGGTGGGGGACTGCAGGGGAAAGGAAGGGAGAGAGGGAGGAGGTAAGCAGGGCCTCCTTTGATGCTCAGTTGGCTCCAAGGTCATGTTCTTGACCATCAGAATCAATGCTACTTCAGTGAGCGAGTAATAAACTTATGGAATAGGCTTCTTAGGGAGACAGTGGAAGCTGAAAATTTTGTTTGTTCCAAGAACAAATTAGATAGATTTCTGCTGAAAAATAATATCTCAGGATACAGTATACAGTATACAGTTTGGAACACTACATGTCAAGTGACTGCTTAGAGG